TCTAGGTATTTCACGAGATTTTGCTTGATAATGTATCTAGTACACTTCTTACACGTTGACATCGATCTTGTATCGCCATCTATAAGCCATTCTAGTTACACACCAACAATATCAATGGAGACGAGCTTACTTAATTATATGCATTTATAACTTCTTTCGTCTATCTACCAGATATGCCACCAAACGCTCCTTTCTGACAGCATACCCGCTTCTCCTTCCCTTTTCCACGCCGTCTCTTCTTGGTATCAACGGCAACTCGCAACCAAAATCCACCAACAACTATTATTGCTTCTTCTCCTTCCTCCTCCATCCACCCGACTAGAAACTATCCTACAAAGACACGCAGCAGCGGCAACCGACTCCACGCACTAGCACCTCAAGTTCGGCAAAGACAGAGGCAAAGGACAACAATTGCACCGCAGGCCATCCGTTCCATTCCGTAATCCAACAATAAGGGAGAAGAGCTACATGTCTCCCAGAAAGGAAAGAGAAGAAAAAAGAGAAAAAATGTGACAAAGGAAAAGCAGGAGCGACTCGACGCCCTATAGTAACGGGCGGCGGCTCATGGTATCATGCATTCGCGACGCAAGGGAGCGACAAAGGAAAGGTCCGGTGGATTGCCAGACAGTATGCAAAAGGCGTTGTATGAGAAGTTATGGTGAAATGACGAGTTCGGTACAGATTCGTTAACCAGTTTAGCCGACCCTGATAGTGGTCTCTAATGGCGTGCGCGGTAGATCTTTGTCCAAAGAGGCTCTGGGTATGCCTCCCCTCTTGTCCTCCTTTGGTGGTGTGGGTGGTCCAGAGTGCCTGTTGGGCATGTATTCTGCGTCCTTTGCCGGTGTAGGCGGGCGCCCATCGCTACTCGCGGTGCCAGAGTCCTTCGGCGGTGTAGGCGGCGGCCTTCCCTGTGCATGATCCCTTTCCCTGGATGTAGACCTGGCTCTGGCTTCAAGTCGTGGAGGGCCGAGGTAGGGCGCTCCTGTGGGTGGTGGTACTGATGACTTCTCGCTACTCGTATTGGCAGCATGGCGATCTGAGGCACTCCGGTTGCTGTGCCCGCCAACACTTGAAGATTCACCGGCCTCTTCCACCACAGGCAGAGTGGTCCCAATCTCTCCTCTTTCCGCCGACGGACTACGTACTGCCCTCAAGTGTAGATTCGGTACGTTTTCTTCACCATGACCTTGTCGCCGCGAGCGGTCGGCTTGATGCTCGGCCTTCTCCAGGACACGGTCGGTCGACGATCGCTGCGCAGCAGTCGCATTGACACCGTCAAGGGAGAGTTCGTTGAGATCGTTTGTGGCCTCTTCCATCTTCTCACGCTCGGCCGCTTCTCTAGTCTTGGTGACACCGCTGATGAACTTGATGAATCGATCGCCGTATCGCTCGGGAGGTATAGCAGATATTTGAGACTCGGTATTAGCAATGCCTTTAATAAAGTGCTCCATACGTTTGATGAAAGAGTACTAGAGTATAATTAGTATTTGGCGAGGCCTACGCGCGGTACGCTGCAAACTTACGTGTGTCAGACAGTCGATAATGCCAAGGTAGTATATCTCCTCTCCGGGGGTTTCGTCCTCGTGAGTGGCTCGGAAGCCACCATCGTCAGAATAGAAGTAGAAGTTCCGGTTAGGATCCTCCAACTCATTCGGCATCTTGCTAGACGTCTGACCCATGGGTACTGGTTTCTGTGTCTTGACCATCTGCCTCAGTTCCCTTGCTTTCCGAGCACTCTCCAACTTCGAAGGCGTGCGCATAAGCTGATTCGGTTGGGGCTCTGGTGCCTCCTCTCCACCTGGTGAAAAGACTTTGAGTGTCTTGTCTCGCAGGTTCTCCTCGTTACCCTTTTCCAGGTCGTGGATACCAATGAGGAGCGAGTAGTCCATTATGTGTAAGCGCTGCAGCAACTTGACGTCTCTTTGCATCTGTTCAATGAACATCTTCTTCTTGGACGGCCCTAACTCAAGATGCTGGTTTCTGCGTAACCAATTGAGGTCCTTCAGTGTCGCGCGGGGGTTGGTTGCCAAGTTCTCTTCCTTAAAGTCTCGCCCAATGGTAGAGCCCTTGAGGTCGAATGTGCTGTGGATGTCTCGATGTGGGGGAAACAGGTTGTTCATGACGACGAAGTGGATCTTGCGTCCATAGGGTATCTTGACGCGATGCAGGCCGTAAAACTGGGAAAGTAGAGTGTTTGGGTTCTCCTGCACGTGGTTGTAGTAGTCCTTGAGAATCTTGCGGAGGAACTTGTGTTCAGCGTGGTGGATAGTTTTGATAATGTACTTGTAGTCGCGGGAGAAATAGAAGAAGCTGCCGCTCTTGCCGGGAGAGCCGAGCTCGGAAAGGATGTATTTGCTGGTCAGCGACACGAGATAATCGGCAGGGTCGAGCTTGAAGGTAGTGCGGAGATGGCGGAAGACCCATGGTGCATAGTCCTTGAACTTGAAGTCGTATTTGGCGGAAGGAGTAAGCTCGTTACCAGTTCTGTCAAAGTGTCAGTATTGTGCGAACGAGCAAAGATCAGAGGTCTGCCAGACGAAGTGGAGATGAACTCTAGCAGGTGCTTGATGTTGCAAGGAAAGCCGACCGGCACATACATGTCAAACGAGAACTTGTGCTTCGCGTCAAAGTCGGCATCAGTGAGATCTCGGTCCATCTTGGCGTTGGTTCGCGAGACGGTGAAGCGGATACCCGTCAACATGTTGTAGGCGGTCACCCAGTTGACGTGGTTCTGGTCGACCTTGGTGCCTACCACGACGCGGTCTTCGTCTTCGTCCTCCTTGCGCTTCCGCTTACTTGCCCGCTTCTGGCGGATGTGCTCAGCCCAGCGCGCGGCCTCATCGTCCTGGGGCACCTCGTCGAGATGCATGTCGGAGTTGACGGAGCGTGTGGTCCGACGCACAAGCGACATGGAGCCTCTCCGTTTGTGCGGTGTGGAAGGCGAGAAGCGTCCACTAGCGCTGATGACGTCGTCGGTGTTGTTCTGGGGTTCGCGGGCGCGCGATGTTTGCAGCTTGGGGACCTCGAGGGTATGACGTTGCTGCAGACGATGAGGCTGTTGAGAGGGGCTGGGGTTGTTGTGGTTGAAGGCAGGCGGGGAGGAGACGCGATGCGCTTGGCTCGGTACCTGCAGACTGGACGTGCCCTCGTCGGGTTGGGGCTGCGGCGACGGCGACGTGGGAGGATGGGAGACGGCGCCGACGTGCGGAACATAGAAGTCCCTGCTTGCTTCTTTGGTGCCGTCCTGAGCATCCATCTGGCCGAGCTCGACGTGCGTGGTGCTGCCACAGAGGCGGTCCTTGGTCTTGCTGCTGTGTATCGAGGCGAAGTAGCCGTCGTCCCTGCTCGGGCGCTCGCTCGACTGCCTCTGCGTGTCGAGCGACTTGGTGTTGGAGCTGTCGGCGTCCATGTAGTCTCCTCTGCTCCGGGCATGACGTGCGTCGTCCTGGGACAGGCGCTTGTCGATGCTCGCGGGCCTGGGTGGGCGGCCGTTTGCCATGGGCTGCATTCCATTGGCCATCTTCCCGTTCATCGCGGCAGCGGTGCCATTGGGGGGCGAGCGGTCCGAGGGCGAGCGCGCGGGGGGAGGCGGTGATGTTTGAGCATGTGCAAAGGAAGAGCGGTCGGTTGCTTCGGCGCCATACGAGGGCATCATCTGCGACTCATGGATGGTTACGCTCATCAAAGAGGCAGCCTTTCCCGAGCGCTGCGGAGGAGGGGTCGGCGGAGCGTGAGAAGCCAGTGTGTGTGTGCGACGTGTGGCTGGTGAAGGTCGGGTTGGGCGTCGTCCGGGGGATTGCGTAGTGCAGCGCCGGCAGAGACTAGGTACCAGAGCGGAGCAGAGCAGAGCAGAGCAGAGCAGAGCAGAGCAGCACTGGGCGGAGGCAGCGGCGGGGCGGCAGGCGCTGGAGCAATGGGGGTCGTGATAAGAAAAACGGTGGGCGCAAGAATGGGCGTGGGTGTGTCGGCGGCCAGGAGTCGAGTCGAGCTGTGATGCTCAATAGTTGGCACTTCGCTCAGCCCTTTGCTCGCCGGGCGCGATCCGACTTCCGTCTTGCGCTAGCCTTGGCAGGTGGACAGTGCCTTATTGCGCGCTGCGAAGCCACCAGCAACATGACCACGGGCCCGGCTCCTGCTGCATTACGGCAGTTTCAATGCAGTCGGACATGCTGGGCCCCATTCACCACTGCATTGCGCTGCTTTTCACGCCCCAAAGACCCCATCGCTGCGATACTTGGATATCTTGTCTGCGTTGCGCGCGCCCGTAGAGAGAGATTGCGCGTCTGGATTAAGAACAGGCGGCATGCATCCCTCAGCCACACCAATAGTCCCAGCAGCCCGGGTGCGGCGTCATGCTGTGGCTCGCAATCACCCTATTCTTAACCATGCCGTGCCAAACAGAAGGTTATTTTCTACACCAAGCCGCACCTTGCTATTGCTATTGCTATGCAGTCCCCATCCATGCAGCCCACGTTGTCGCCCCGAGCACCGGACAACAGAGGAGGCGAGCCGGCCTTGCCCTGCGCCGCACGCTGCCCACTTCTGTCTTCGGCTCTATTTAGATCCAGCTCCACTCCCAATCTCCTGGCTAACCCAGCCCTGTTTTCGTCCGCCCATCACAGAATGCGCAATGCCTGGGCGACCAAGTAAGGGTCCAGTGCTCCATCAAATACATGTCCTCCCCGCAATGTCCAGGCGTATCACATCTGACCAGTCTGGAACATCCTCACACTCGACAGTGCATCTCTGTTGAGCAGTGCGCACTCGGGGCCAACATTGAAGATCCGCGCTCTCCACGCTAACCATCTTTGGCTTCCCTTTATGTGCCCTGCACGCCAACATATATACCCATGCTTGAGCATGCGACTCCAGTAATGGCGAGTTCAAAGTGCTTGTCGCACCTGAGACGAGATGGAAACTTCCAAATCTCAAAACACCCTTATCGCGCAGTCGGTGTATGGCTGGGAGGACTTGATAGATAGGCAGTGACCGCGCTGTCTTCATCCCACAGCAATCCGATGCTTGTCGCCGGCCCTCAGCGAACAGACTTCGGTATTTGGCAGCGTCTTCCTGATGACACCCTCTTCCACCATCTTCTTCACTTCGTCAACCGCGTGCTGTGCAATCTGAGTCAACTTGACTGCCCAACCCCGATTGTCCTTGTCTGCATCATGGGCAGATATCCAGGCTTTGGCATACAGACTCTTGGCTATCTCTGTGCCACCGGGACTGCCAGCTGATATGTTACCTCCAAGCCACCAAGGATTCTCAACGCAGTCAAAAGAATGTAGAAGCGCGGTGAGGGGAAGCGCAGATTCCGACACAAGGTAGGAGCTTGCGTAAGGACGAATCACGTCGTACGAAACACCGTGAGGTGAGTAAATGACAGACAAGGTCTTCTCCCGATCGTTGTTTGGTGACGGCACCAGCGTACGGGGCGATGAGGCGATTGTCATTGGCGATCCTGGAGAGGGGGGCGGGCTCATAGGCAGGTTGATGTAGTGCATTGGGCTTAGCGACGAGAGTACGGTGCAAGGAGGCCGATATGTTATCCCGATCGCGTGATGTACCTTGGAAAGGTCCCGCTTGGCTGGAATCCAAGTCACCGTCACCTCACCACATGTCCCTCGGGGAGACGGCGGCGGTAATACTATACGGTGTATGGACTGGCCATCTCCCTCGACGTACTTCGGCAGAGCGTGCACAAGGCTGGGACGAAAGTGTTTCCATGAGCGAATCTTCTTGGCCGCAGACGGTATGGCTAGAATAGTCGCATCGCAGTCTGGTGGGAGTTGGCGCAAGGTAGCTTCATGGCAGTGGTCTGGCTTGTCTTGGGATATAAGCACGAGGTCGGGTTCGCGGTCAAGGTCTCTCAGGCTCGCGACGGATGGTTTCGCTCTCTGTACAGAATGCGAGAAGATGGAGTTTAGGATGATGGAGGGCCCTGAAAGCCAGGCTGGTCAGGAAACATTAGCACCCATCTACAAGTCGGCCTCCAGCAATATCGAACGCGATCTTCAGAAACTTACGGTCAACCAGAATCGTGAACGATCCTGGGAACAATCCCGGCGACGATAGTGGGGCAGCGGGTGGGTCAAAAGTAAGGAGAAAAGAAGTGTCTCCATTCAGCGACTCAACGGAGAGAGCCATACTAGCGGAGAACAAGTGCAAAACAATGTCGGCCACGCGCACGACGGGGTAACGGCAAACTAAGACATGAAGAAAGGGAGGCGAGGCGACGGGCTACGCGCTGCCGTGTCAGTCTGTGATGCCCATGTCAATGATGATTGCGGGCTTGCGCCATCGCCTTGGAACGCTCAGCAGAAGCAATTGTGCTGGAAGGTTGACGCGAGAGGGTAGTCGCAGACGAGCGTCGAGGAGAAACAGCAGGTGCAGACGAGGTGCATGTGACGAGACTAGAAAGCCATAGGTAGCAACACGCTGCTCCTGTCACTCAACAATTTCCACCCCGGCGCGTCAAAAGCTCGTCTTCTCGTGCGTCTTCTTCACTCTCCGTCCCTCTCTTCTCTGACGTTTCCCACCACCCTTCCGCCTCAACCCAAGTCTGTTGCCGAAATGTGGTAGATGCAGCTCCCTGCAACCAAGTGCAGCTTTCCTGGACCTGCCGCCGGCCGAAACTGGCTTTAGCTCGGCATCTGAGGAGCAAAAATCTTCATGGCGCCGCAGCCGATGTCCTGGTGAAGAGTCCGAGCAGTAGATCGCATTGGTCAAAATTCTTTGCATGCACGGGACTTGAGCTGGGAGGAGGCTTCTGCGCCGTCTAGCTGATTATGAGTCGTCTTGCTCCCAGCCATCTCTGATTGGAGCGCGCAAATCCCCATTCAAGCGGTAGGTCATTGGGCAGCACGAAGCTCTCCAAGCTATCAGCTTCTTCGCCTCAGCTCCAGGGCAGCCGTCTGATTGCTCCTCCGCTCGAGCTTGTCGTGGCGATACAGCTCTACCCTCACGGCAGCGGTGCAGTACCATTGCTTCTTCTTCTACATGGTCAATCGTGATTCCTGAACACAGCCTCTACTTGATCACTTTCTCTCGAAGCCCCGCCGCCGTTCGCAGCTGCCCCGCATCCAGTTACGTCTATCCGCAGTAGCAGCAACTTCAGCTCAGAGCTTCTTCCACCCGCCGTAGTCACCACACCCGCTCCTGCCGTCACTGTAGCCTCCCCCCCCTCAGCTGCGCAAGCTCGGACTGAGCTTCCCCGTCCCAGCGCCTCGCTTTCCACGTGCCATTGCTTCGTCGCGAAGCTCCTGCCATTGATGCTCGCAGCCATGCCTCCGTCGCGCGCAGCACCGCTGACGAGCTCCTTCTCCGTCAGCGACGAGAACAATGTCGTAGTATGCCCGCTGCGAAACCACGACAGCTCGGCCTGTCGCAAGCGCTGCACCGGGGTAAGTCTCTCCCGCTGCTGCTACACGTTACAGCAAGCTCCAAAGCTCCAGAGCTCCGGGGTGCAGACTAACACATGCGTAGGAGAAGCGTTTCCGGTCCATGCAGGAGCACATCCGCCGCGCCCATCCTGAGCATTACATCTCCAAGTTGCCGGCGACTGAGGTAGGCTTGTCCACGGCCAGCGCTGGCCGAATACGCTGCTGACTGTTTCCGCTTGCAGGAGAGCTTCATGCTTATGGTCAACACACCACCGCAAGAAAGACCCCCACCTCCACCCGCGACGACCTCAGCACCGCCCCAGCAGACGTACGACTATGGCGGAAGCGAACATAACTCCTTCTTCGAGACTGACTTCGGGACGAATCATCTTCGCACATCGGACGAAATGCGCCGGCCGTCACTCTTACCCGCCGCGACTGCTGCGGCTGCCCTGGCCTCGTTACACAACCATCGTGCCGAGTACGACTGGGACTCAGACCCGGTATGGACCCGCGTTGCACCTTCCCCACACAAGACCAGGCTAACAACTGCTGTGAACAGGACGCAGCATCCGATCCCGATTCGAAGAATTACAGGCCTCGCGCACGATTCGCTCCGACCACCATAGAACAACACATCAATGCCGAAGAACCTTACTACACTTCTACTTCCATACAGCAAGAGCTGCTCCCCTCCTCCCTCGCACGATCGCCTCCCGGGCGCTCCTCCACTCTCCCTCCTGGCGCCCACTCTCTCAAACCGAACAGACCCCGCAAGTCTTCTGTAGGACAGAATGCTCGTAAGGGCAAACACGAGCGGCAGAAGTCCAAGGACTATTCGCGCAGGCTGAGCTACGACAGGAAAGCATACTCGGCTGAGCCGGCAACCGCTGCGGCCATTATGGGTAAACGGTGGGAAGACTTGATCGATGCTGCTGCTTCAGCCACAGAAGAGGATAGCCGAGATCTCACGCCGGTTGGTGTCACACTCTGCTATGCTATTCTATCTAACATGAACAGGTGCCACAGTCGCCAAACCAATCCCCTCACATGATGAACAACAGAACCTCTCTACCTCCCTTCAACTTTGCTTCACAACTTCAGTCATACACGGCATCACCTTTGAATAACGCTCTGACGCCTCCACCTCCGGATATGTCGGACCTTCAGCCTTTCCCTTCCGTCGAGTCTTCCATTGAATCAGCCATGTCCGGCCAAAACTTCCACATGCATTCCCAAGGTCTCTCCGATTCATCTCCTAGCTCTCTTTTCCCTGTCCAGATCTACTGCGCTGCATGCCGGAAACTGTCGATATTGCGCGACAGCTATGCATGCTCAGAATGCATTTGCGGTCTGTGTCAAGAGTGCGTAGATGTACTTGTCAGTGAGCACAACCGCGGTCGTGCGCCGACGTGTCCGCGGTGCAGCACTATTGGAGCCAAGTTCAAACCCTTCCAGCTGGATATAAGATGAAGCAAGGTTCACTATGGCGTTTTGGGTATTGCATCATAATCTGGCGTTTGTTTTTGCGTACCCCATACTTTCCCTTGGCCTCGTGCCTGGTTCCGCTTGCTGCCAATCATTGCTAGCTCCACGAGCCACATGGGCGTTCACATGGTCTGTTTTGGGTGGCTTGTTCGGAAAAGACTGCTCGAAAAGCAAGTCGGAGTTTTGATTTGGATGTTACGAGGGACTCGACCGGGCCTCCTTCCCTCTCAAAGAGATCGCAGAGATAGACTCGCCTGCGAATACAATGCTTGGGTGTACTTACACCCCTATCGTTTGACTACTCTATGTTTCCACGACCATAGTCCGCTGTTGCACCAGCAGACTTGCGCAGAGCCTATTGCGCAATCGTTTCCACGTCCATGTTGACGTAGTGCTCAGTCAGCATCAACAGGGCTTGCTCAGGGATTTACATACGTGGGCCCGATTTGGGACCACTTCGGCAGTGTAATAATGCGGTGAAGGAACCATGGTTCATGTTCGCCCGGGTGGATGTCGCACGTCAGGTGTCAGCCGCTCGAAAGGGTGGAGACTCCCGTCATTGCCGGACGCAACACTACTCGGAACGACTGCTTCCCACATGATTCAAGCTCTGAGCGGTCTAGAAGTCCAGAATCCTGGATTACGAAGAACACGAGGGTGGAGATTACGAGCCACCTCAACGTTTGAAAGCGGGAGGTGTTCCATCTGGTGCAGAACGGTATATGTCTATTTTAGCCATCGTCGCTGCAGGGACAAGAGCGATGTGGATAACTGTGTGTGAATGAAAGCGTCGGCCTCGGGAAGCAACGGACGTGGCGCCGTCGTCGCGATGCAAAGGGGTGCCGCGGAGCGGAGCAATGGCCGACTTGACGGCCGGGAATGTTTTGTTCTGTATTCCTGCGCTGAGCGCCTTCGATATCCCCCATCATCGATTCTCTCGTTAGACCCGATGTGCGGGGATCTAAAGGGTTGTTGCAAGGAGGGCAGAAGGTTGGCCGGGTGCTGGACTCGTGACGCTCTTTTGGGAGATTGAGTGTGTGCAGTCATGCGGACGACTGCCTCGACAATGTTTCCTGCTGTCAACTCAACGCCTTTACTGCCAACATGCTCCAATCACAGCAACCCCAAAGCTTAAAGCCGGCAAAGCACATATGGCGGTGTAGTGCGTCTTCGCCAGCGGAAAAAAGGCCAAGCCCTTCTCCTTTTACCCCGCCGTGCAGCCAATCGCTCTACTTGACCGCATCGACACAGCGTATCCTGCAACGGTGAGTCTAAAACGCCAACTGCTTCCGGCGACGCATCGGCGCTGGGCATACACCTAGGCAACGTGTGCGATCAGCGTTGAAAGGGAAAAGCTTGGTCTCAACAATCAAGGAAATTATGGAAGAAAAGTAGTCCATGCCTCTTTGCCATGATCGCGCAGAACAAATGCGATCGCCCTGCGCTGCGGGTATGACCTTGCAGCCATGTGATCTCCTTGCAAGCTCAGGAACGAGGTTAATGTGGGATCGGCGATGGCTAGCGCAGGGTCTGGCCTTGCATCGTCAACCCGAGTACCCACATTAATCGACAAAGTCCATAGCATGCCGGTCTAGACGCACACTCGTTTTGTGGTTTGCATGGAACCCGCGGTTTGAAACTACTGCGCCTGTTTATTGACAGTTGGGTTGCTGCGGCTGTGGGAGCGGCGCGGATTGGGCATAGCCCTGCGTGGCGCCCGGCCCCTGACGTGGTATGCTGGGGTGCTGTAGGCTGCTTTGGGATGACTGTTATGCGTCGGGTAGAGGTGTGTGTGTGGTGGGGGAAAGGGTATTTAGTGGTCGCGTGCCTCGCGTTGTTGGTGCTCCTCTCGTTAGGATATTACCGTTTGTCGATACATACCTTTTGCTTCCTTTTTGCCTATCGCATTGCAAATAACACCAGTTACTTGTTCAATTCGATACATGCAAATACTCGGGTCCGCATACTACTACCATCTACCAACCACCTGACACCAACTCCCAATCAACGACAACCGCAACCGAAACACTACAGCCGATACTTACAGCAACCGCCCAACATGCCCATCTTCCGTACATTGACGACCAAAATCAAAACCTCGCTCTCTCCATCTTCTTCTCCGGAAACATCACCAGATGGATCGCCCACCTCACCGCAAGTGTCTTCCTTCGAGAGGATCAGCGGGCGCAAAGAAGGCGGTGTGAGTGGAGCGGTCAAGCGACCCGAAGTACAGACCAGAGTCGACTCCTATATGACTCAAGGAAGCAATGCCAGCAACGAGAGTGTAGAGGAGAAGAAGCAGCGCAGGCTGAGTCGGTTCAGGGAAGAACTAGACTTCGAGGCTGAGGATTGAGCAAAGAGACGTGTATTCTCAAAGGTATGTTGTCATTTATCGTTTCTAGGATGACGGTTGCTAACCCCAAGTCAAGTTTACGCTGCTTCTGAGTCTGCTGTACCATCTGCATTGTCATCGCCTTGTACTGGAGTGCCTGTCCTGCTTGCACTTCCACTCTTTGGCGGGCCTCTAGGCGGACCCCCAGCCTTGGGAGGTGGTGGTACACCAGAGCCTTTCTTGGGCGCATAGTCTTGCTCCAGACTCTTCTGCTCTCCCTCCTTGAAATAGTCGTCCAAGCCACTGCCACCACCACCCGCAGGGCTAGCGACATGATGTGCCCTGCCCTTCCTCTTTGGCGGCGGCGCCGTGCCCTGAGGTGGTGGTGACTTTGCCGCTAGCGCCATGTTGGCTGGCACGAACAACTCTGTCGGTGCACCCTGCGTTGGCGCAGCGGGGAAATCAACAGAACCAGTCAAAGGGCGTTTCTCATCAAACGACGTGGCCCCGCTAGCATCGCCTGTGGAGAAGAAGGTCTCGCCAGGCGCTGGCGGCGGCTCGTCCAAACCTGCTGGAATTCGATGCAAAGCCCCGAAACCCAACACACACCCTAAGGCTCCCTCACCACCCCAATTGCGCGTCGGCGTGATGGTAACGGGACGAGTCACGTTGTATTCGTGGTTATACACGTACAGCCTCAATGGCCTGTTTAGAAAGTCTTCCACAAGTTCACCCAAGCCAGACTCGCCGCGCACAAGCCCTTCGGGGCTGCCGATGACGTAGTCACCATAGGGTAGCAACCCTGCGGCATCAGCGGGGGAATTGGGAGCCACGTCTAGGATATGCCAGACATCCTCCGCGATGGCCAGTGGAGACCACTGCAAGGAGATCCCAAGAGTCGGCTGATCGGCTGGGATTTGCAGATAAACTTCTCGGATCTTCTGGCCCTACAGGGTGTCAGACGTGTATAGATAGCTCAATTGAGTGAAGTTAATTGTGACGTTTGTTCTCCCGGACTTCTGTGGTTGTGCTTCCTTGCAAACGTATACCATGAAATGGAACAATGACTCATCACGTCTCGAATGTATTGTGGTATGAGAATGAGTAGTGGGAACCTACTTTTGCGCTGAATACACCTAGGCTGATAGTCGCACCAGCACTGTTCCGTACCTCTGTCGCAAAGAGACTTGGATCTGGATTATCCTGTTCTCAGAGTTAGTATAAAATCAATACGATGTTCCTGTTTCCAATCCTTTCATCTTGTCTGGGAGTTGACCCCCACTTCGCCATCGTCTACCTTCTCCCGCTCTTGCATCCCGTTTGATGTCTTTTAACCGAATGGAAAATACGTACAATAGTTCTTCCATTGATTCCAATGATGAAATCGAACCACGGCTCCAGAGGGACATCTAGGTTAGCGTTCCTCAGCACCTGGAAGCCGTATGCGCCATTCGTAGCGGACTGCTGCTCTTCGTTGAGGGGCGCGGCGTCTAGTCGCGATATGAAGCGGTTCAACGCTCCGAACATGGACATGATGAGAGGCGGTGATTCTGATGGCTCCTTCAAAAATTTGTCGTATGGTGATGACGACAGAGAAGTTGTGTTGGTCGAGGTGTCGTTGTTGGTGACTTGGAGGTTTTGGAAGGTGGCCATAGCTCGGGATCTGCGGCGCGCTAGCTGGGGCAGGTGCAGTGAGGATGGCAATGTGTGGTTAAAGTTGAATCGGAGGTAGTTGTAGTTCAGGATGCAAAGTTCGGAACATTATCACCTGCAGTGACCAAATTACATGTACCGCCACGTATAGCACTCACTGTCTGAGTAGGCAGTCGCGTCGGTCGGAACTATTCCTAATAAGGTAAGGCGTATCAGGATTGCTCTCACTCTTCCACAGTATCTGCTCGGTTACTTCATCATCCACACATCTTCTGAAGTCAAAACCCATTACCTGTGGCTTCTCAAATCAGGCTATTCTCACAACTTAGTGCATCACGCTTGCTGGGGATATGAGTGAGACGGCGGGTGAGAAAGGCGTAGACCAATGGTCGCGTGTCGAACAGTTCCCCGAACATTTGAAGAAGTACAGCCCATTTCTACCACTCTCAGAGATTCTTGAATTCTAACAATATCAGATATTGGCACCAGCGGTTCAAGATATGGGAAAAGTATGACCAAGGCATATGGATGACAGAAGACGCCTGGTTCGGCGTGACACCAGAACCCATCGCGAACAAGATCGCAGCTCACATATCTGAGTCAGCGCCCAAAGACAAAACCGTCATCGTCGACGCATTTGCTGGTGTTGGTGGTAATGCCATAGCACTAGCGCGCTCGGGACGCTGGGAACGCGTGTTCGCTATTGAGAAAGATTCCAAAACGTTGAAGTGCGCAAAGCACAATGCCGAAATATATGGTGTGAGCAATAAGATCTTTTGGCTCAACGCAGATTGCTTTGATGCCATGAGCAGGTTCTCGGGTCAAAGCAATGTCGTTGTGTTCGCTAGTCCGCCATGGGGAGGTTTGTCTCTTTTCCACACCTTCATTCGAAACAAGCTGATGTGTATAGGAACTGAGTATGGGGCGGAAGACGTCTTCGACCTCAGTAAGATGGAGCCGTATAATCTCGAAAAGCTTTACAAGAGCTTTACGAGTATCAGCAAAGAGGTTGTTCTGTATCTGCCGAGAACGTCGGATCTTAATCAGATTGCGAGGTACGGGCAAGATGGGAAAAAGCTGGAAGTTGCGCACTATACTATGATGGGTGCTAGCAAGGTAAGACACAGAAAATCTCGATGCTAACCTCTAAACTGACTTTGCGCAGGCACTCTGCGTGTATTTTGGTAACTTCAATTTCGATATGGAGCAGGACTCATAATGAAGTAGCGGAAACGGAACGCGGTCATCAAACTTCACGCGTGTTCCATCTTAGTCCGTCTCCGGTACTACCTTCTCCAAGAAAGCACACAAGTCCCGCAGCTCAGCTCCGGCCATGACATGCCCCATGCCCTCATATTCTTTAATTGTCACCCTGTCCTTATCGATACCAAATCCAAATAATGCCTCATAACACATACGATGTAAACGCTTCGGTACCAATCTATCCCCTGTTCCTCTTGCCAGAAATACCTCACCGTTGCTACCCACCTCTTCTGGTAACCCAGCTTGTTCTCTCAGCTTCGGTATTTGATCTGCCAGAGGAAGGTATCCAGACAGTCCGACCAGCCCACCCAACTTCCCGGCATACTTCGACACCAAACCAGTCAAAAGTGCCATAGCATGGCCCTGTGAGAACCCTCCCAAGACGATCCTCTCTGTTGGAATGCCCTGATCGACCAAATCATCAATCAGTGTTGTGATGTAGGACACGGTAGTCATCATTCCCTCTTCATCTTCGTCATCTTCGAGCTCAGGTCGCGATGGTGGATAAGGAGAGAGGCGGGTGGGCAGATACCAGGCTGTAGTAGCTAGGTCATGGTTCTCTAGAGCGTTGGGTATGATCCAAGACATGTGTGGCAGTTTATTCGCGGACTGAAACTGGCGAGCGACGCTTTCCAGTCCTTCTGCTTCGTCACCAAGACCGTGGATGAAGATGAAGGCCGCAGACTTAGAAGCATCGCTAGGTGGGGTTGTGGGTGGGAGTACAATTGGCGGTTTCCTTTCGGGCGCCATGCTTGGTTGTATGGGCGATGTGCAGTGACCTAGGTAGCTGGGGTTGTTCGGGCAAGTGGTCACAAGTTCGATCTACGGCTTTCCGGGACTATACATATTAAAGATCTGCCGAGGATGCAATAGCCTTTTGATGATCACGGCTAACATCCGACAAGATGATGACAAGATCGGAAGTAATCCAGATAGTGTACGTACCCCACATCGATCATGCAGGTACGCGGCATCTGGACTTTGCGACGCGTCGGCATGTGATCCATAATTTCTACACCTCCGGACTCTCCGCATCATCACCTCCTACACTCCACACTTAACCATGCCACACGTCGAAGTACTTCCGAACTCCACGGCGACCGTCGCGCCTGGATGGACGTATGTCGTCGACACAGGCTACGACCCCTCAAAAGTCGCCATCAACCCCAAGAACAAGAAGCGCGCCGCCGCAGCAACACCCGGCGGTCAACGGGCGGAAAATGAGCTCTCTGCACGACAACAGACAGCCATAGCTCGACGGATAGCAGAACTAGAACGCGACAACGACCCCAAGCAGCTTATCACGATACCCGGGAAGCCGAGCGTGCCAAAGACGCAAAACGCAAGGAGGATTATACAATACCAGCGGCAGATCAAGCATTGGCTCGATGATGAAGAAGCGCAACTAGGACAGACGACAACTACGTCAAGGGGAAGCGTGTCTCAACCCACAGGGGGAAGGGGAGCAGCACAAGCCCTGCGAAGGCAAAGCACGTTCGCTTCTGTGCCTGCGACGCCAGTAGAAGCAACACCAGGGCCTCTTCCAGTATCGCAAACTCCATCGCGTCTCGAGGACGCAAATGCAGACGACGCGCTGCTCTCGATCGACGATTCCATACCCGCGCCGTTGAACCCTACCGAGCTCGAGGCTCTACTTGCCGCTCCACCGCTTTCCTACGCTGCAAGCCACGCCGCACCTCCTCCCGCTGGCGGTCCACCACAGAGACAGTTTTGCGACAATTGCGGATACTGGGGACAAATCAAGTGTCGCAAGTGTGGAGCGCGAGTATGTGGGTTAGAGTGCAAAGACGCGCACGAAGCAACCAGGTGCTTGAAGTGGGCATAAGGACAGAGAACGACTGAATATAGCATTGCAATGGCGTTGGTATGCTTTACGATACCCAGATAGTGTCATCTATCTATAGAGCAACATCTTGCTCAATACACGAATTCCTCTCCTACGAGCCTCTCGCTCAGTTTCCACAGCCTCTCTGGGTCTTCCGGGTTCGTCGCAGTTGGCTGCACTTCTTGCGGCGCCACGTTGGCGTTGTCGAGATGCGCGCCGTTGCAGTTGTCCAATCTTGTATCGAAGGCGGCAACAACATGGGTAGCCGCACACTCATCCAGCGACTTCAGGTCAAACTCACGAGCCCAGCCGATCTCTTTGTCCTTGGCCACTGTATGCTTGTCAGAACGGCTATCGTGTCAACTCTCAACAACGACAACTTACCGACACTCTTCATGTCTTCATCGTCGAACTTTTCAGCAAGAGAAGTCCCAATCGTCACTCCTGGATGCAGACTATACGCTTTCAACCCCATCGAACCCAGCTTCTTTGCCAACGCATAGGAGAATAAGATGTTTGCCGTCTTACTCTGGCCATATGCTTCCCACTGATCATACACTTTGCCATCTTGGAAATTCGGATCGTCGAATCGCACACCACTGAAGCGATGACCATCACTGGATATGTTGACGATTCGGGGTGCCTTGGCAGCAAGAATCTTGGGCATGATGAGATTGGTGAAGAGGAAATGACCGATGTGGTTGCATCCGAATTGGTTCTCGATACCGTCCGCTGTAGTACGGTAGGGGCCCTTCATTATGCCTGCTGAGTTTACGAGCACATCGATGTGGGATTCCGGATATGCGAGAACTTCGTTCGCGGCTTCTCGGATCTGCTTTTGCGATGCCAGATCGAGGGTTAAGATACGCACTTCGACGTTGGCGCTCGCTGGGTTGGATTTGATCTTGTCGACTGTGGCTTGAACCTTTGATGGCGAGCGGCCAGCGAGGATCAGAAGAGCGGGTTTGTGCTTTGCGATCTCCTCGACAAACGTTGCTCCCAGACCGCCTTGCGTTACGCCAGTCGTCAAGACGATCTTGCCAGCTATGTTGGATGCGTTGTCTGCTGCGATGGTTGAGGCAAGCGCGTTCTGGCGATTATAGGGTAGTGGTGAAGACATGACAGTACGCAGTCTGGACGAAAGCTAGAGAGGCACCTTGTAACTGTAGGCAAGCGGGACTTTTAGAATTAATCAGATTTTGATGAACCACGGAAACAACCCCCTCTATATGCGTTGTTGATCAGGAAGCCGCCTAGATAATGTCATGCCGGTTGACTTAGGCTTAACTCCGTCCGCTGTAAGTCCGCGTCTCCATTGAGAACTGTTCACCGATGTACGCTTACATTACTTTGAGACAATTCAGAGATGAATAATAGAAAGACTTTTTTCATTTACTAGTTGCAAATCGGTATATAGATATGTAGCTTCAGCGGAATAATTGGCACAGTACAATGTGACGTCACAGATTGTAGACACCGAGAATACATGCTGCATGCTCTGCTATGCGAGTTTTGATATCGAGAGCAATACATTTAATGTGATGGTCTAGGATAGTGTTGTTTGTTGTGTTGTTGAAACTGAGAAACTGACGAAGTGTTGGTCGTCAAGTGTGTCTACTACAACAAGAAGATTAGAATCTGGGTAGCATGAAGCCACTGAGACTACACATCATGTCACTAGTCGGCGGTCTTGCATACGTTTTATACGAAGAAGGTCTCACAGAAAGAAACCGTGGGAAGTATAGAGCGCTTGCCATAATCTGGTGGTGTACACGGTAATGTATATTGTAGAAGCGATCTAGGGTATAACAACCAGCGCATGCGTCCATGCTCCATTTTCCTGTCTCCTCCTCTTCCTTTTCCCGGCATGGTGTAGCCGTGACTATGCAGCGCCTGGCGCTTTTGCCTTTTCCTGGGCTTCGAGCTTTCTCCGTGCTGCCAGAATCATCTCCTCTCGCCGTCTTTGCAAGTTTGCTTGCCTCTCACTCTTGTCTGCACTCCATGATTTCGCCTTCGGCTGCTCCTCCTGTGCCGGCTGCGAGACTTGGCTAAGCTTCGAGGACAGATTGTATCGTGTTATCAGATCGGGATGTGCGGGTCTCGCTGGGGCTGGGGATGGTCGCGCCGGTGTAGCTGCGACTCGCGGTGCTGGTGTTGGTATTTGGAAAGACGCTGGTGCCTGTGCATGTGTTAGCATATGTCGACGGCATGACAGGTTTCAAATCGAGAGGCTTACCGTGTCTAACCCTCGCCCGCTCAGGGCCCGCTCCGTTGTCGCCGCAACGTTTCCGCCATTCCTCTGCAGATCCCATGCGATGTCGCGTCTGCTCAACTGCGGCAGCATCTCAGCGACTTGGTCTATCTGCGCAGGGCTCACGCGGAGTGCAGCGCGGTTCGCCGCAGCTCGCGTGCCTGGGGCCGCCGCCGTCGGCTTTCTCAAGTACCATCGTACAGCAAGGAACGTGACGACGATGAAAACGATGACCTGGGGAATGTTGATGCTCTGTTCCGCCATGACTCTGTCTGCGGTATGAGTCGGAGGCTCGTGAGTCGATGCGCTGTGATTGTGTATGTACCGAGGTGCGGCGTAAAGTGCGTTGGTAGCAGCCGAGACTCGCAAATGGGTACCAAAGTTGTAGTTATCTGAGCAACCGTAATTTCAGATCACCGATTGCTTTAAGATTTCAAACGAGAGCGCGATAGCGGTATGAGCGAGTTTACGGACAGTGTATTGAACAGTGTTCTATCAAGTTCAAGTGAGGTCGCCATGTTTCGGACGAGCCTCGGCGAATAGCGAATCACCGAAAGGCCAAGGACCCCCGCTGACCCCTTGATGTCTTTCACTCTCGCGACCCACAAGTTCGCGCCTTCTCCACACTCCACCCTAATCCTTCGTTTTCACCCACGTCGGTCCTAGCCATCTAGGCATACACTCATTTCCAACGACAATCGCTTCAATATGTTATGACGTTTACATGCTTTGAGATACCCCCCATAGTCTATTCACGTTACACACACGCTACGCGCTTTTGATAATTAGTTATGAATGCTCCAGTAATATCACGGAAGCCGCTTCCAGAAGCCGCCCAGGCGCACTTGAAGGACTCGTTCATTCCTACTACTACAATCGGGTCGAAATGGGAAACACCTTTACCTTCAGGTCAACAAACGAAAGATGCCATTAGAGTCACCGCTCCACGTGAAGTGCCCGCACCTGACGATAAGTCACCTCATCATGGAAGGCGGTATGGACTCACTTGTGGTATCATTACTGGTATAAAGACAAGCACTTTTGCTTCGACACTCTCTCGTCACTTTAACAACTTCCTGCCAGCACACAAAAGATACTTCAACAATCACATCAACCGCCGTACACTACTCATCATGATCGGCATCACCTTTACCCTTCTGGCTCTCATCATCGGTCTCGCAGCAGGCTTGACTATCCCCTCCGAGTGAGTCTTCGTGATTTGCCTTCTTTCTAGAGCCTCTGTTAACACCACCTACAGCAATAGTGCCGTGTCTTCAGCCGACGTATCCGACTTTCAAGGCCAACTGACGTTCTACAACCCTGCGATGGGCGCTTGCGGTCATGTTCACGGTGACAACGACCTTGTCATGGCTATTTCTCACGGACGCTGTAAGTGTTGATCGCCGCCAAATCATCTGCGAGATATACACTAACACCGTGTTTTAATCAGTTGACGAGGTTAATCCTTCCAACCCTAACAACAACCCGCTCTGTGGTAGGAAGATTCGAGCTCACCGCGTGGACGAGCGCACTGGCAAGGACGCCAGCGTCCTTGTCACCATTGTCGACAAGTGTAAGTACTCCGGATGGCACATCCCGTCTCACGCCACTTCATATTGCTGTTGCTAATGTTTTGCCAGGCATGGCATGTGCTTACGACGACATCGATGTCAGCCCTTCCGCGTTCGACAAGTTGGCTGACAAAGCCAAGGGCAGGGTCAACGTAGAGTGGTCCTGGGCCTGAGCATTGTCACTTGGTTCGCGTCACACAGTCATGACTCAGGGTTGAGTCGACTGTGACACATTACGGCATCTTCTATTACTCACACACTGGTGTGGCATATATATGCTTTCCAATTCTACTGATGATATACTCTTCTTCTACCTTTTGCTTGATACGTGAACCTGTTTACATTGACAGTAACTTTCTACCTTTCGACAATCTACATCTTCCTTGACAGCGCACTGGCATATGCCACACTGTGCGTAGATGGCCATATTTCTCAACAGAAGACTAAGCAGAAGGAGTTCCTCTAAATCTACGACAAGCGTACCACCCCTGAAGATAGGTAGACCCCAGCTTGTCACCGCAGGTTTGGGACCTGAACACGAGACTCAGTATTCCGAGACCAAAACTCGGGCTTTTGAGCCCCCGACTAAAGAAATCATATCGCAGAGACCTCTACCGGATCTTCCCGATATCTCCCCAGTTTTCACATCTTTCACTCAGTCGGAAGATTCGGGAATCGACCCAAGCCGAGATATGGACGACCACCACCTAACAGAACTCAGATACACAGCATACGAAGGCCAATACAAACGTGCCAGCTCCGTATATCCGGGAGATACGACCCAGGACTTCGATGACAAAGATCGTAAAGCAGGGAGAGGATATCCTGACGTGGGCCGCGCCATGTTGAAAGAAGTCATTGCTGGTCCATACCATAGCCAGGAGGAACTTGACGAAGTTCCCTTCCCTCCTCCATCTTTTGAGAAAGCTGCACCACAAAGTGAAAAGCTTAGGAAGCCCCCCAATCAAGATGGTCCATACCATACCGAGGAAAAATGGTACGACGTTCCCTTCACTCGTCCAGCTCTTGAGCAAGCTGCACCACAAAGCGAAAAGCTTAGGAAGTCCCCAAATCAAGATGGTCCAAAGCGAAAACGCAAGTGGTACTGGGCAAGATTTATTCTACCAGCTGTCATCGTACTTATCGGTGTAATAATAGGATTGGTCATTTACGTAAAGCATGGTAGCGGGGATAATCAAGACAAAGCGACGATGGAAAGCGAGACCTTCAGTGCTTCGTCAACGCCGCTTCTGACGGAGTCATCAACCCCTGAGAGGGTCACGAATGCCGCCATACCGTCAGAAAACATACCGTCAAAAAATGTTCCAACGAGCGTCGTGGTTGTTACGTCTTTCATCGAAACGAGCGAGACCCCGTCTTCAACGCCTACGCCTACGCCTACGCCTACGCCTACGCCTACGCCTACGTCCACCCTCGAGTCCAGCTCGGTACAATCATCAAGTTCCCTCAGCAGTCCGTCCTCCCAATCTTCTAACTTCATGCAAAGCACAGCTGTACTCGAAAATCTTGTTGGGAGGAGCGGCTATCTAGACCAACGTGCTGATGGTTCTCTCCGCTACGATTCGCTTCTGGACCTAGAACAAGGTGGATACCTTGATCGAAGAGAGGACCCAGACGACTGCGAAGATGTTACTATAACAATTACTACCACGTTGACAACGACGATCACGAGTACTATTCGAACATCTAGAATGGTAGCTTCCAGTGCTGGCAGCGATTCAGCTTCGCTGCAGCCGTCGGAGCCCGAACCTGCAGAGACCGGTCCGAAGTGCATAACAAATACTATTTACCACACAGATGGTCTACCCATTTCTACAGATACCTGGGATGATACTGAGATCCCCAGCATGGAAGTCTCTTCTGTTGCCGCCGACTCAACGGCTAGTCCAGATACGACACCTCTACCTACCGAACCCTCAGCTACTCTATCTGCAGGTGAAGAGACTGGAGTCATTTCAACATCTTCAGTTGCGCAAGCAGGACGACTAGCACCGTATCCGTGGAATAGTTTACGATATCTCCGGCGCTTTTTGTCGCTGTTCCCTAGGGATAACGAGCAACATCCGCATTTGCTTCCTTCTCTGATCATACCGACTGCGACAACAAAGAATAATGACGCGGATAGAAGCTACATTGTGAAGGTTCTCAGTACGACCAGCAGCAATGCCGCGGTGCGTCGAGAAGTCCAGCATTGGAATTTCATGGGCAAACCGAATCCCACAGTACCTTCGAGGATCCGTGAACGCCGTGAAGTGCCTGCTCAACCACCTTCTCTGTCAGGTACAGAGGCAATGAAGACATACTGGGACGCATATTGGGATTTCCGGCTACTAATCATACAAATGTGCTTCTCCGTCAAATCAGAAAAACCCCCGACATCTGGGGATGTCAAGATGGGCCAAACGCTGAACGAGACCATATGCGATAACTTCGAGCAGGACTTTCCAGCAATAAGCGAAGGAGCAAAATGCGACCACAAGGACTCTTTCGAGAGGCTAAATAATATGGTTAAGGCATTGTGTGCCTTAGCTAGGGAAGGCGAGAAGTATGTTCAAAGTCTGGCTTTGCTTTGCCACGTCCAAGACACTCTCAAGGGAAAGGTATATGAATGTGGAGGGGAAGAAGGAGGGGTGGTATCCGGCACAGGTACGATGATTGCCGCGTCCTTGATGGAGACCTTCGATAGCGGACCATCAATAACTAAGGAAGAGCCTGCACCAAGTGCAGACGTCGAAGTCACCCCAGATAGTGGCCAGATTACTTCCGATGTTCCCAGCTTCTCACTACAACAGAACGCCGTGGAGAATGCAGACCCTCCTCCTGTCGGTCCCTCTGTAAGTCCCGTTGCTTTGGCTAGTGAGCCTCCACTCGTTACCTCCGCCGCCAGTCTTCTCCCATCGCCCGTCCCCCCCACTCCACCCATACCCGGGAACTCGCCAGTTTCTACTCCACCAACTCCAGCTACTGGCCTTGGAGTTTTACCACCTCACCCATCTCTGACGCCACCAGCCGAATGGACCGTTTCCATGCTTACCTATAGCACACAAGCCGCCAACTACAGTAGCTTACGTACTATGCCCAGCAATGCTGTCGGAACGCCACCAGTCTACGAAGGTCCACATCTTGCCAGAGACTGGCCGGTTAGCTATCCCTTCGCTATTCCCACAGGCTACGTAGCTCCTAACATCGTGCCCGCCGACCCTCAGGTCGGACAGTTGACCCTCTTCGAAGAAGGTGTAGGAGCATGTGGCCTTCCGGGAATGATTGCCACTGACTTCGCCGTTGCTATAAACTGGGAAATATTTGACATTGGCCGAGAGATTGGAGGCTCTATTCTGGAAGATGGATGGAAGTCAGAGGGTGTCACCCCAGACGGGAAGCTCGTCAATTGGCCTAAGGATGATAGTTCAAGTGCACTATGCAATCAAGGTATTCGGGCATGGATGGCTGATGACGAGGGTAAGAAGTTGGTGGAGCAGGAATTTGTGGTTAGAGATCGCTGTGCGGCGTGTAATGTGTCGGACCTAGATATCCAGAAGAGTGTATTTACCAATTATTGGGGTGCGGAGGCGGAGGGAAGGATTCAAGTCACGTGGGAGTGGATGCAGGAGGCACCAACTGACGTGCCGGGATAGGGTTTCGAATTGCCCAATTTCAGAGCGGGGTGTTCAGTATTGGCGTTTTCGGGACATTGTTATAATGCCATATGTGTAGATTTAGAATCCGCTTCTGGCTGCTTGAAGGACTTCTTATCCCGCGTTACCTCCAGCGTTGGTCCAGTGCTTCGCGATGGTTTCACTAGGCAGTACGCCATGATTCGTCTTCATCGCATATACCTTCAACGACCCACCTTTCTCATCGTAAACTAGCACGGCTGCGCACTCCTTCGTACATGCAACGGCATCCCTTAGTTCTGCAAGCAAACTCACCATCTTGCGTAGCCTGTCTTGGTTCGCTTCCTCCCATCGGGGGTACTCCTTCTCAGCATCACTGATGCTCACCGAGTGCACCGTACCCTTGTCATGGTTGCCATTCATAAAGTAGGGCGTACGGCCGAACCAAAGCTGCGGTAGTGCTTCTGTAAGACGTGCGGCCTTCTTGGCTTTGATCTCAGCGAGCTTGGACGGGTCGATGAAGATTCCCTTTTCAACAACTACGGTAGGCTTATCGGCGGGAGTCTTTCGAGGTTTAGTTTGAGTTGGTGGCAGGCCTGCAATATTCAGTTGTGTCATAGCAGCGCTCACGGTGCCAACGGGCTCATCCCTAGGCTGTTCAGACTTCGAGTCCAGGCCGACATCCGGGTCATCGTAATACGCATCGACTTCAAAACGGACAACGCAGTTCAAAGGGCCGATATGGTACCGAATGACTCTGTGATGACTGCTAGAGTTCCCCATTCCATGATCAGGCATCGTGAAGGTCTTCTCGAAGTTATGTCCGTAGCCCGCGTTCGGTGCACCATGGATCATTTGCTGAGCGTTCCGTTCTTTACGGCTAATAACGAGCGTATTGCCGACCATGTGTAAGCCCATGCAGAAAATGTCCAGTTTCCTCCCAGCCGAAAAATCGAGTAGCTTGCGAAGACTGTTGCGGTTGGCGATGATGTCGACTTGATCTAGCACGACGTCGGGACCCATCACAGCAAGGGCAGCGAAGGCTGGCTCGAAAGGATACTTGGGCACGCGAGATGCGTTCTGATCGACGAAGTGTCTCCCTGAGTCCTGAGCCAGAGTGGTCGGCAGTGGTGGAGGGTTCCACCTCGGAGGTGCACCAGGTACATAGATGGATCCATCACACTGCCAGTTGTAGCTACACAAGGTCTCGAAGCCACGCTCAGACGACACCTTGGTGCCATCTGGCTCCAGTGTTGTTGCCTTTATTGTGCGAACGGGCAGCTCGGTGGTCTCCCGGAACATCCATGACGTTTTCCAAGAAGGCGCCTGGTGTGAAAGCTGTGCCCGGGGTTGTCCTGCTCTCGCAGATTGAGGCCTCAATCCCTTTGATGGAACTGCGTCTCCTTGAGGTATTATCGGAAGCTTCCCTTTGACCGGTACCTTCACTGTTGCAACTTCTGCTGACGCCAAAGAAGTTGTTACGGGCGGAGATGCTTTCGCTCCATTTCGCCTAGCACGCTCTCTATGTGTGGAGTCAGACTTGAGTGAAAATTGGGGCAAGATTAGCCTACTCACAGTTTTGAAGGACGCGCATTTCGTGCCTTCGGCCGTATAGCATCGTCCTCTTTGGTGTTTGCAGTCCCGGCCGTTGTAGGGGGATCGCCGTCAATAAATGCCTCATGGGCTTGTAGCGCATTCGATGCTACTGAACTCTCGAATTCCACTGTTACTGAATCCTGATTCTTGTGCTGGCTGCGCTTCTGTTAGTTGTCTGTACACTCGTACAGACCAGTGTCAGCGCAATACTTACCGCCTTCTACCACGTTGGCGTTTCTTGATCGGAGCGACCTTTTGACCTGACTTCTGCTCCCCAGTGGCTATTGGGATTCCACCGTCGTCAAGAGTACCTGGTCCCGTAGCGGGAGGCTGAGCCACGGATTGCGGCATGTTTAGTGGAGTTGTTGGCTTGTTAAGAGTTCATATGTCAGCGTGACAGAAGTAGCATGCGTCGAGTAGCAACCGTAAGGCAGAACCCGTGTAGCGGGGTAGCTGTTGCGCGCATCAGGATATGCTTGTACAGCCTAAGTTTGAGACTGCCAAGTCTGTGCGCCGTCAGAGTCTGCTGGATTGGCTAAGTGAAGGTGAAGAGAAGTGGGCAGCCTTGGATGCCTATGCATTGGAGAAATCATCATCGATAACACGCAGGATGAAGCGCGTCCGATATGCCTATCATCCGACCTGTCGACCCTTTACACATGGCATGGATGTTACTGGAGGCGATGCAGCTGGGGTCGAACAATCTAGGGGGTGTTTGCGGAGGTGCAGGTCTCACGTGCGCAGGCGATAATGATTGGCAGGGTCTGGATCGGTTACGCGTCATTCCTCTCGGAGTCGGCAGCATCCTTCAACTTAATTCCTACGATGCACACGACCATCTCCGGGCTTGATGCTTCACTTCTACGCTTCTTACTTCCCCCTACTACTTTTAATGTCTAGTTAACTTCTCTTGGCCTGTCGTCTCCGCATGCTTGGCAAACCTCCTCCGCCGCAGCGTTAGGCGCACTATCTGCAATGTCGACCGTCTTCGCCTCCCTGGTACGCCCGCCCAAGCTGCGACGCGCTTCCGCAGCTACGCAGCCCGCGGCCCAGCCTCCGCCCTCGATCGACAGTCATGGCCTCGACGAGCCCGACCTGCGCGACCTCAATGCCGCCCTGCAAGCGCTTACGGATATCTTCCCCGACCTGCAACCCGAGGTTTTCCGAGAGATGCTGTCTACTTTTAGCGAAGAGAGCAGGCTGCAAGTCGTCACCGAGACGCTCTTGAAGCATGGCGACAAGTACGTGCGGGGCCGGTACAGGAAGCCTGCCGAGCAGGAAGAGCAGCGGGAGACGGCGCAGAAGTACAAATACCGCAAGGAAGACGCACCGAGAGACACACGAGGCATACCCCTTGCACTGGAAGAAAAGTTTCGGTCACGACGGTACAAGGAGGCTGCCAAGGAAGCGCTGTACCAGGAATTCAAAGGCCTGAGCCACTCGACCATCAAGGCTGTGCTGGCTGAATACAACTACAGCTACACGCATGCACGACCGACGCTATTGGATCTGTCAACTAGAAGCTGGAGGTCCAGCATCACCAACTTCCTGATGCGCCGGAAGGCGCCGACGGCCAGTGATCACCCCCTGGTCATATGGACTCCCGCCGACGAACGCCTGAACCGTCCGTCTATGCCACTTCTCGTAAAGACTCGAAGCGACGAGCTGAACCAGGAGCTGTACAACGCACTCATTGTACCGGAACATGAGAAACACCGGAACGCGCAACTGCGACAGGACTATGACTTGGCCATGCAATGGAACGAAGAGGAGGCCGAGCGTGAAGGCGAAATGTACGACTGCGAATGCTGCTTCATACCCAACACGCTTCAGCAGATGTCGACCTGCGATATCGACGGCCACTACATCTGCTTCCGTTGCATACGGCATGCTATCAACGCTGCCCTCTACGACCAGGGCTGGGCGCGTAACATCAACACGGACCTGTGTACCCTGAAATGCATAGCGCCTATGACCGGTGGCTCCGAAGAGTGTCGTGGCTGCATACCCTTCTCGTTTGTGAAGCGCGCTCTTCTGGAAGAGCAAGATGGAAAGGACAACCTGAACAAACTCAACGAGCGCTTCGCTAGCGATGCACTGACCAGATCTCAGCTACCACTCGTACAGTGTCCCTTCTGCTCGTATGCCGAGTTGGATGACCTCGCGCTTCCAGATACCAATCTCTTCGCAAGCCTACGTTTCAAATCCCGCCCACTCATACTGGCTTCGCTGGCATCGGTGCCCTTATTCGAGTTACTGTGCTTCCAAGCCACGCGAGCCTTACTTTTCGCATTCATTCTTATCTACACCTTCGTCACCATCACATTTCGCCTGCCCGTCATCGCACCCTTTCGATCCGCCCTCAGGCGTGTTCACCTAAAGCGTCGCGGCCTTCGGTTTCAGTGTCTCTCCCCAAGCTGCGGTCGCGCATCCTGCCTCTCGTGCTCCCTTCCCTGGCATGACCCCCACACATGTTTCTCTTCCCAACTCACATCCCTTCGTCTCACACTCGAACGTGCTACCACAGACGCAGTCAAGCGTACCTGTCCTCAATGCAACCTAGGCTTTGTAAAATCCGAGGGCTGTAATAAGCTCGTTTGTCTTTGTGGGTACAGCATGTGCTACATCTGCCGACAGGGTCTTGCGAATGAGGGCTATCAACACTTTTGTGGACACTTCCGTGAACGGCCTGGGCAGTCATGTGGCGAGTGCAACAAATGTGATCTATACCGCGTCGAGGACGAAGAGAGGGTGGTCAAGAGGGCCAAAGACAGGGCCGAGGCAGAGTGGTGGGAAGCGCAGGGCGATGGCGCGAAGGAAGGGCTGCAGAAAGAGGTCGGGAAGAACGAAGGCTCCGCGGCGAAAGGGGTGGCGGGGCTCAAGAGGGGAAATTGGGAAGCCTGGATCGAAGGCGTACTGGATAGCGTGCTTGTTTAATTATTTGCTGTTGGCGTTCGGATGTGGCCACAGATCGTCAGAAAGATTGATACCCAGGATTGATATTGTACAGCGTCCCTCGTGGACGCCATCTTAGTTGCAACTCTTTTGATCAGTCCCCGTGATGGGTGTTCTATCGGTAGTGAGACATCCTTCAAGTGACATTACAATTTTCGATATTTGACGTGCATATTCTTTGTGCGAGACATCATACATTTATCACCAGCTCTTCCAGCGGAATGCCTGGCATATACGCGAGAATGAAGACTGCATCAAGCTTTCTCCTGGGGTCCAGGGTTTACAGAGATGTAGAGCGTTCATGAAAGAGGAAGTGGTGAAGATAAGTGCGTTCTTGCGTACACTTCCGTTCTGCAGGGCTTATTTCCGAGATATCGCTCTTACCTTTTGCAGTTGCTAAACATACAAAGTCCATAGGCGCTCACGACGTTGGCTACCGTTGTACCCCTCATCAGGGACCAACACACCACCTTCCTAACGTCACCTAGCGCCCCGCAAGCGACGGGGAGCGTTATCAGCCGCGATACTATCTCCACTGACATCATCACGTCTACACATTATCAATCTGCTATCACACGCAGCACTCTTGGCTGTTCCTCGGAAGAAAGATCTCGCTGTGTCGCCTACGATGCAGGCTAGAGATCTGGGACCTATCGCGCATTCATCGGCTTGTCGCTACAGGGTTCACGATAAGGGATGCTGGTCGGAAGAAACGATGTTTGGCTAGTATTGAGGATGCAGAAACGATCTTCGATAGATGCTCCTTGATAGGTAATGCTGTTTGCCGGATATGAGGTCGGCATGCATGTGAGGGGCGACACGGCATTGCAGATGTTGAGATCGTAGGGTACTGGGTTCGTTACATATACCATGTCGCACCGCATGTTACATGGAAACCAGAATAATATCTAGTTTACCTGTCCTCGTCTCTATATCGGCAAGATGAGCATCCCGGAGAAAGAGATAGCCCATGAGTCGAAATCGGGCGACACTTCTCCCTCGCGACCGCATTCAGACGTCGAGATTGGTACTGTCGAGGAGCCATCGAACAACGGTGATGAGGCACTCAAATTTCTTAAGAATGCGCACAATGTCGGTGCTCTCACGCCAGAGGATGAGCGAAGACTGGTTCGAAAGATTGATTGGATGATCATGCCATTGATGTGGTGTTGTTACTGCTTGCAGTATCTGGACAAGACACTAGGTATGTCAGCACTTTGCATTGCTGCATCACTACCCTGCAAGCAAAGACACTAACAGTCCGTGATAGTGAACTACGCAGCGGTGATGGGTCTCTACGAGGACGCGAACATCAACACGGCACAATTCTCCAACCTCGCTCTCTTCTTTTACGTATCTTACCTCGCGCTCGAGTTCCCTCATGGCTACGGCATGCAGCGTCTGCCTACTGCAAAGTATCTCGGCGCAGCAGTAATACTCTGGGGTCTTGTCACGGCACTCACTTGCGTGTGTAAGAACTACGGCGCTCTAGTCGCTACACGTGTCCTGTTGGGTTGCTTCGAGTCGGCCGTCGCGCCCAGCTTGATCCTGATAACTTCGATGTGGTATAAGAAGAAAGAACAACCGCTGCGAACCGGTATCTGGTATCTAGGAGTCGGTAAGTCCTGGCTGTACGAAATGCATGTGAGACATATGCTGACTTCGTACCTCTACCCCTGCAGGAACTGGAACCATTATTGGAAGTCTGATCAGTTTCGGGTTTCAGCACTACGAAAGTGACACTTTTACTAGCTGGCAGATCATGTTCTTGGTCGTGGGCCTAGTTACTGTCTCAGTCGGTATAACTGGTATGCTGATCTCTATCTCTGGTTCTCGGAATGGTACTGACTTACGTAGTGGTGTTGCTTCTTCCCGACAACCCGATGTCTTCTCGCCTAACACCAGCAGAGAAGGTATGGGCAATCGAACGTCTACGCGAGAACCAGACTGGCATCGAGAACACGCATTTCAAGTTTCACCAAGTGCTTGACTGCTTCAAAGATCCGCAGACGTGGATGTTATCGATCATCACCATATCATCCAATGTACCCAATGGTGCAGTGTCTTCCTACCAGGCCACGCTCATCAAGTCATTTGGCTTCAGCTCTAAGACTACAGCTTTGCTACAGCTACCTTCGGGCGCCGTCAGCGTCATCTCAATCCTCATCGCTACATATCTCGCCGGCCGTTTCAACCAACGCGCACTGAACGTCGTCTCCTTGCTCATACCTGGAGCGCTGGGAGGCTGCCTCATGGCTTTCCTCCCCGGCGAATCCAGAGTGGGAAAGCTCATCGGGAACTATCTTACCAACTGCATTGGCTCCAGCTTACCGCTCCTCTACTCCTGGGTATCTGCGAACATTGCCGGTCATACGAAGAAAGTAACCATGAACGCTATTTTGCTCATGTCTTTCTGTCTGGGAAACATCATCGGACCGTTAACATTCCGCCAAGGCGATGGGCCTGATTTCGTACCAGCCAAGGTCACCATCGTAGTGACTTGCGCATTTGCGGCTGCTATGGCGCTCGTGTTGAGAGCCTACTACATGTGGGAAAATAAGAAGAGGGATCGAGAGGATGATGGAACGCATCTAGAGAATGAAGAGTTCCTTGATCTGACGGATCGCGAGAATAGAAGGTTTAGGTATAGGTTATAGGTTGGGCAAAAGGATAAATAGCCTAATGGGCAAGCGCGAGGCGGATCGGCACGAACCTCCTTCTCACACTCAAATCACCGGCCATACTGAATTGGACTCCATCAGATGCAAGAAAATTTATAAGTTGATCGACGCTAATTTACATTCTACAGGTTACCCTATCCTACGGGGTACCAGCACTGCCGCGTAGTTCACTAATGATAATATTCGCCGCCTTCTCACCAATAACAAGCGCCGTGTTATTCGTATTACCACCCACATTCTCCGGAGGGATACTGAGATCCGCAATCTTCAACCCCTTGATGCCGTGCACGTTCAAGGAGGAATCAACAACACCATCCTCCTCCCTCGGCGCCATCTTGCACGTGCCAAGCGAGTGCCACGTTGTGTTGACGTTCTCTCGTAGCCACTGCTCGATGGCAGCATCGTCTTCCTTGCTGTATACCAGATCCTTGACGTCTTCCAAAGGCCCTTCGACATTCTCTTGTAGGGCGACCGCGGAATCGGCAGCGAACTTTGGATGACCTCCAGCCAATTCGCCACGGTAGAACTTCGTACGTCGCAAGATCTCGCGTTGCTTCTTGTACGCCCAGATCTGCTTCTTGAGGTCGATGTCGTCTTTGTCGTTGAAGAAGCCCACGTCGAAGTCTAGTGGGTCATCATGCTTCGGACCGGTGATGTGCATATGTCCGCGCGAGTATGGGTACGCGGTGTAGTTACCTGCTGTGACGTACTGGCCCGCAGGTATGCTTGCTGGGTCGCCCAAGAAGCAAGACACCAGACCGCACAGCATCAACGGACGGTTTGGAGCATCCTTGAAGTCGCGGTTCCACGCTTCTTGGAACTCTGGTCCGAGAGAAGTGACTTCTTCTTCAGTAGGGCGAAGCTTGGAAGATATATCGATGCCGTTCCAGCCTAGCATGGGGTCTTTGTTCTTCATCATCTCGGCAACGTCGGCACGTCCGCTCAGAATGCCATCGATCGTCTGGTCGGGTGCCAGGGCAGTCTTGTAGGGGTAGAGAAGGAGGTGGTGGTCTTGGTAGTCCTTTCCTACACCAGGTAACTCTTCCACAAGAGGTACACCAGCACGTTCGAGGATCTCCTTGGAGCCCAGACCCGAACGTTCGAGAATGGGTGGTGTACCGCAAGCACCAGATGTGACGACGACCAACTTGCGAGCCTTCACAGCCTTCACAGGATGCATGCTCAGACCAATTTCAGCTTGGAATTCTGGGTTTGGTGTGTATTCGACACCCGTGGCACGTTTGTTCTCGTCGAACAGCACGCGCACCACCTTCGATTCGACGAGAACGTGAAGGTTGGAATACCGCTCATCTTCGAGCTTCGGGTGGAGATATGTGTGTGCGGTATCTTGGCGTTTGCCCTCTGGTGAGACGTAGCGTTGCCATCGCGCAATACCGTTGTTATCGTCCAGGTTCTGCAGATCTTCGATCTCAGGGTAGCCGACCTTCTCAGCTGCGCTTATGAAGTCATCTTCAGCAGCCTTTGCGCGATAACCTCCGTCTGAGACATGGATTGGTCCGCTGTGGCCGTGGTGCTCTTTCGCTCCGGGCCCGTGGTAGGTCTCTAGCTTCTTTAGGTGCGGCCACATTTCCTCAGCTGACCAGCCAGGTGTGTTCCAGCTATCGAAGTCGGATCTTTGTGCTCGTGTGTACATCATGAAATTGATGGAACTGCCTCCGCCCAAAGTACCACCGCAAGGTACAATGGGTTCGCGATCGGCTAGCTGCTTCGACTTGTTTCCTTTGTAGAAGAGAGCGGTCTTGGTGGCAGGCAGTAGGTTCTGCAGGTAGAAAACGGGGTTTACAACGCTGGCGACATCTTTGTTGTTCGCGCCCCCTTCGATTACAAGAATAGAGAGGGAGGGGTCATCTTCAGCAAGTCGACCGGCTATGATACAACCCGCTGTACCGCCTATAAAAAGATGTCAGTGGGGGAATCAATGAGGGTGAATATGATAGACATACCTCCAGCGATGATGACATCTACCTCATTAATGTCGTCTGCAAGCTTGTTGTATATACCCATGATGAAATTCTGTTATGATCTGGGCACTTTGAGAAGATGTTCGGATACCAGATGACAAGACAACTGTCAAGAGTCAGATTTGGGAGTCCAGCAATCCGTTTAAGTAAATGTTCAGTATTTCTTTGCCCCTCGCAAATAAAGTTCGGCCACTTACAGTCCATCGCAGACCATTTATCGGATGCCATAGGTTTTTTGTGAACTTGAGTACCGCACTACCCCATCTTCTGCTCTTTTCGACTTGGCGCCGGTGATACTAGCGGACCCTTTCCGCGCATCTAGATGGCGACCCCAAGGCTTAGGGGACGCTACGAGCTATTAGCTCTCACAACAATTGAACGATCTCCCATGCCGTCCACTCAGGATAGCCTTGTGTTTGCGCTATCAGCCATGGTGGTGGTGAATAGCACATCAGGTGTTCTTTCCCCGCATTCGTGAGCCGTAACCTAACGGCGATCATATGCGCCTGTCCGAGAACCGCGGATAACAATTGTGAAAAGAAGGACGTAGAGAGGTACAATCTAGAACGTGTGTTCCACGCAGTTTTTCAATTTTGAGCTGGTGGTGGTGATGTTAGCAAACACTTCATTCGTAGAGCACAAAAGATAAGAGAGATTGTGAAAGAGTGTAATGAGGTATCTTGGAATTTCCGAAGGCCTACTTTCGGATACTTGAACCCTGCAGCCCACTAACACTGCGCATTCGGAACCATGGATCGATGCACGGTAACCGCAAGAGTCGATGGCATGTGCAGGCTAAGGCACTAGGACGCAAAGTCCCGGCTTGCTGGGGCGAAACTTCATGAAAAAGGAAAGCTACCCTCGATCACATCCACAAATGGCTGCCTTCTTCAGAAACACGAACCGAGTTTTCGCCGTGCGACGATGCCAAGCATCGCATCTTAGAAGAGCCGATCAAGACCCATGTCAAGTATGTTTTGGAACTCGACGCGACGCTTGCCAGCGGTACTACGCTTTTTGGGCTTGGCGTCCGCCGCGATGTAGTGCTCGATGATGTTGACGGTGGGGCCCAACGTATGGAAGGGTGCAAGATTGTCGAGCATGAGGTTAGCGCTCTCATTGTCTTGAATGGAGTCGTGCCTTAGGAGCGCAATGTCAGTGATTGCTCGAAAGTAAATCGTACCTTGGGCTGACTTACCAATGGATGACGACCTCTCGCAAGTCTGGCGCTTTCAACAAGATCTCGAATACGAAATTGGAGCGCTGGCGAAGAAGGGCAGGGAAGATGGCCTCGATGGAATCGGTAGTGTCGGCGCGGATCCAGGCTGAATCCCAAACGAAAGTTATATCAACCTTTCGAATGTTCTCCATAGGAGAAAAGGCAGCGTCGGTGATCTGGCTGAAAGCCTAAACATTGGTGTACAAAGTCAGTAAATGTGCCACATTAATTCATACAGGGAAATGACTTGCCTCCTCGAAGAAAGACGTGTGGGCGAAGCTACCAGTGGCGTCGATACGTAGAACGGCTACATCGTAGAACCAGTTCTTTGCCTCGTTGTTCAGCTGGCGGGAGGCCAACAGGAGCTGGACCGGCGGAGGACAGTGAGTGATGCGCATGAAGTTCGGTATGTGGCGCCACTTGTTGTGGGGTCGGAATACGGGTGCTGGGGGTGGAGGAGGAGGCTGAGCTGTAACGACTGTGGCGGCAGCGTTACCACTGTCATCGACCAAATCTTCGTCGCCCTCGCTATCGCCTTCGGCCTCTTCTTCATTGTGTAGCTGGGCACCCTCGGTCTCTTCGCCGTCGTCGCCCTCATCCTCGCCGTCGCCCTCACCGGCATGTCCTTGTCCAGGTTCTTCCTCTGCCATCCCATCTTCGGAGTGGTGGTCAGGGTCAACTTGAGCCGTAGCTGGGGCTGGAACGTGGACGCTAGCAGTTGCCGACTGGGTATCGTGCGCGCCGGCAACAGCTTCCTCTACCTCATCGTCCTCGTCTTCACCGTCCAATTCGGATTCAGACTCATCTTCAGCTTCATCCTCATCATTGCCATCTTCCTGCTCTGCTCCTTCGTCCTCATTTCCATCTTCGTCTTCGTCCTCGTCCTCGTTTTCGCTGTCCTCCGCGGCATTTTCGTTCTCTTCTTGATCATCCTCCTCACTGTTGTACTCGCTGACAGCACTCTCTTCATCGTAATCATCGTAGTCGTTGGCGTATACGACGCGCGGGGTGGGACCGTTGGGGTTGTCAATGGCGTCTTGGGCAATGAGTTCCTTGACCTCTTTCTTCTCGAACCAGTAGCGGAGCAGCTTCTTAGGCTTGACGTCGCGCACGGCCACATGCTCGAAAATGGAGTGTCGCACCTCGAGCGGGAGGTCCATGAAAGCGGGTGCAGCCTTGTCGTTGGTCATGGCGGGCAGTTGGTCGCGCGTGAGTTTTGTAGAATGAGCTGCGCAGGGAGATGTAAGGTAGAGAGGCTTGCGAGCGGGATTGGCAGCAAACTAGAGAGAGAATACGGGCGAGATCAGGGTTCAAGTAAAGTTGGCGCCGCAGTTGCCTGCAGTGGGCTGCGCGGGGCTTGCAGGCGTTTGTGTAGCCAGAAACGCTTGAACGTGGAGCAGGACCAGAAGTAAAGGAGCGGACAAGAGCCACTGAGGGGCACGCCCAAGCGTCGAGAGGTCCATCATGACCAACAGGGCGCTCAGGTCTGGATGCGTCGTTTCGCAGTCGCTGGTAGCTATGGAGTCGCAGTTGACCCACCGTCGCGCCTTCCCCACGGAGCTTGACGCGCTACGTCAGCCCCTTGCCTGATTGGCTGCAGCCATCTCGCGACTCCCGACCAGCTTCCACTCCATTAGACTCAATGAACGTCATCCTTTCCATCGCGTGCCACGACATCTCAGCATTGCCGAAACCTTTACATGGCAGCGCAAGTCCCCAGCCACCAGGCTGCACGTCGTGTATCTCATGTGAGATCCTTCCCAGCACAGGAGCAGCCCCAAGTATGCATACTGAACATCACGCGCGAGAATTCTGTGCAAGGCTTCGAACCATGAGTCTAATACATGGACACACTCATACGCTCGTAGTGCATCAATTCATCCCTTGTATCATGCTATACGCGTAGTCCCCGGGCTGCCCGTACGCTCCTTCCGAATTGCTGACACCACGCTCATCACGAAAGAGCACTTCCGCTGAGCCCTACTACCCTACGTGGACAGGTCATAGGCTGTAAAAGATGCAGCCACACTCGAAAGCTAGCATTTCTTCTTTAGCACTTGTATTTGCTGGTCCACCTATTGCTGCAGCACGCCCATCCCGCGGACGATGTTTGGGTAACTGGCTAATCGAGGCATGTAGAGGAGGCTGCAAGCTCAAGGCACTTGCCGCTTCTTCAACGAGGAGACTCGAGACTTCCCTGACTATCACGTTTCAGAGCAAGCCTGCTCTCTTCGGAGCAGAACCGGTGTCGGCGTTCAGCATGTTCCTCCTTCTTATGCCTACAACAACAGTAAACACAACATACCATGGAGCAGCAGCAACTCACTGCTGCTGCCCGCCTACAAGCTACGCGCATGCCCATTGCTGAGTATATAATCCCTTCCTCGGGTCTCCATCCTCCATTTCTCTCTCACATCCCAACTCAGCCCAGCAACTCTACCAACAACTCTTCTACCCAGCTCATCCATCCATCATCCATACCTGAGCCCACCCCATCAACGCATTCCGCAGGCAGAGCTTGGTTACTCCAACCACGACCTACGCCATGCGTCTCACCACCAGTGTCATCGCTGGCTTCATCGCCTTCGGTGCCGCTACGCCTGCCGGCCTGGCAGTCAAGCCAAGTTCCATTGAGGACCCTGTCGATGCTGTCCCAGCCCAACACACTCCCGTCGTGGACGGAAACTGGCACATTGGCTGCGACAAGAACAACTACTGCTCCTACTACCAGGGAGGCGACTTGGCTGTTGGCAACACCAACTCAGTGTCCCCTCGTACCATTGCTCTGTCGGAAGCCTCGTGCAAGCAGTGCTCAACTGAGGACCCTTGCGACGTAAGTCTTCCTTATGTCCTCTTCTTTCAGAATAGGATGATCTTTGCTGACGTTCTGTCTGGTAGTATTGCACGTCTTACAGTTTCTATTGTCGGGACTGCGACCACTACCAATGTTTCGACGCATTTTTGGATTGGCACAACTGCTTCGACATCCAACCCGAGCTTGCCGACGTCATCCGTAATCACACAGTCACAGCCAACATCCTCGAGACCACCATCAGCACCTCTGTTGTAACTGTGACCGCCATGCCTACTTCTGAGGCGTCGATTTCCGACATCACCACGACCATCACGCTTGCTCGTACAGCCGTAGCCCCGACGCACACTGGTCTGGCCCCTCGGGATGAGCTAGCCTCCAACGATGGCGACAACCAGTCACCTACTCGTCGCACTGCCTTCAAGCAGTCGGAATGCTTCCCTTGCAACGACCAAACTTGCCCAGTACGTTGATTCGTCCCAGGTTTCTTGCCTGTACTCAGCTTGCTAACTTATCTTTTCTCAGGAATGCCACGCCGACTGCGCAGAGTGCGACAAGTACCTTTGCAACAACTTAGCCACTCACATGACGGTGTGCATGAGCGTCCGTTCCAAATGGCAGCCCCCGGGCTTCAACGTCTCTACCTCCGGACCCAGCGAGACCACAACTACCACCGAGACAGTGGTCATTTCGACCGTCGTTGGCCCCACGTCCTCGCCAGTCGTCACCGTCACCGTGTCCGCCCCTCTTACCAGTACCACTACTGTTGTCGTAGCTCCTCAGAGCTCCCCATGCACTACGACCACTACTTCGATACCTGTAGTAACCAGCACTGTGACAGTGGTTACTCAGCGTCCACAGACAAGCACTGTGACAGTTGTTGCTCAGCGTCCACAGATCACCACTGTCGTCGTGACAGCTCCTCGGGTTCAGACTACCACTGTCGTCGTGGCAGCCCCTCAGATTCAGATTAATACCGTCACTGTGGAAAAGCCGGCTTCCACCGTAATCTACCAGCAGCCAGGCACCACATCCATTGTCACCTATCACTACCATGATCCAGCGTCCACCATCATGCTCCAGCCACCAACTGTTACGGCTTCGCGCTCACCACACGTGCTCGAGATTCCCGTCACTGTGATCACGACCGCGACCCACACCGTAGCCAGGTCAGTTCGTGCCAACCAAACCCCTGCGCCTATGTCTCCCCGCGATAGCATTATCGCCAAGCCAATGTGCGACTCTTGCGACGGTAACCCGGAGTGCGATGTAAGTTGAAGCACCAGTCCGTCGTGTGCTCATAGAACTTCTGATTGATTTCCGCTACAAACAGGGGTGCGATTTCGCTTGCGACGAAGACCAAGGCTGTGAGCACTTCCTGTGCAAAGACCCTCTCAGCGAAGCGGAGCTCTGCATAAGCTACCTAGATGACGCCGAGGCGTCCAAAGCATACGACACGTCCATGGCTTCCGGCGATTTCCTTGGCTCCGCCGCGATGCTTCTGGTGCTCGCTGGCGATGACGCCCCTACTTCCAACACAACGACCACCCATTTGCAGCCGGCGATCTCCAACGGAACCCGGCCAGACTTTTCCTTCGCCGATGAGGATTGCTATTTGTGCGAGTCCGGTGATGAGTCTTGCAACGTAAGTCACTGCCTTGCCCACCCACCACCTGCAATGTTGCATCATCTTCATTGCTATAGTTCGTCGACTAACTCCTCCCAGATGTGCGACTGGCAGTTCACCTGCGGCATCAAGAAGAAGTGCTTCCACAACGGCGCGCGCGAAGTTGTCGAGTTGTGCTTCGAGAAAGGCGAGAAGTGCCGTCCTTGAACCGATTCCGCCGGGCATTCCTCTTCGTGCCGACTGAAGCGAGCCATCCTGCGATGCCACGAACCGATGAGGTAGCTGGATTGTCGCTTTTGGCTCTGCTGTCTTTTTGCACGCTTCGTTGGTCGCGTCGCTCCGTTTCACGCTAGTGTGAGCTTGCGCTGGCTTCTGCCATGTTCTTTCTCCTGTTGTTTCTCTTCCCCTTTGTTGCTCCGCGTTAGTAGTCTGTAGCTTCTTCTGAATGCATTACATCCCCTTAATTTCTGAGATACTTGCTTCCTTGTTGATGTATGCTCACCGATCGCATGTTCTCACTACTTGCTTCGCAACTTGCCGATGGAGTCCGCGATGGTCAGTCGTTCTCAAAGAGGCCGCTCACTCGACTCATGATTGCTTCAGTGACACTGTCCTGCATTGGAACCGTGCATACAATTGACCGATACACTTACAATCGGCACTGGGTGACATATACCTGGCAGATTGCCTGTCATGAAAGCCCCCAGGACGCATACAAATCGGACATACGATACAAGTGTACATCCTTTGTTCTCATTTTTTGGAATACATACCCTTTTCTTAAGTCGAAACTTCATCTAGTCAAGGAGATTCCAGAGCCATCTCATTCAACCCCAGACTAAGTCGATTCTCTCGCCCTTGACCTTCGAATTGAACCACTCGTAGATCTCAACATCACTCTGTACTACACGTGCACCATCGAGAACCCCACTTCTACCTAGCCTCTCCGTCGCGAATTGTAATTCCATGGTTGCCAAGTTCCTAGCGATGCACGCTCTGCTTCCTGCGCCAAATGCGAACCAGTATTTCGACATAGCTTCTGTTGAATTCAGCCATCTTTCAGGCCGGAAGCTTCTTGGTGAGGGAAAGATGTCCGGGTTGAAGTGCAGCTCATAGGCCGAGCAACCGACAATAGAGCCAGCTGGGAAGTAGGTGTTCTTGAAAGTCCAACCCCCTGCAGGGACGGTATGAGGTAAGCGCGTAGGATTTGCCATACTGATTCGGAGGCCTTCTTTGACAATAGCGTTGAGATAGGGTAGCGCTTGAACGTCCTGTGCATCCGGGCCAAGGGCAACGTTACCCTTGATCTCTTCCTTTAGTCTCTCGTACATATCTGGGTACAACGCTAGATTGCGCATGATCGTTGCCAAGTTCATCCCCGTAGAATCTGTCCCTGCGAAGATGAGATCTTTGCACTGTGCCTTAACTTCGGAGTCGCTGAGTCCCGCAGCGAGTAGGCGCCCGGGGTACGTTGTTGACTTCTCGGAGGTATTCGCTACCAGTGTGCCGATGAACTTGTCAACAAGCATCATGCTATCATCAGTCTCCGGATCGGGCAACCATTTGGCAACGGCCCATTCCAGCCACGTGAAAGCGAAATTTGGGAGGTAGAAGAAGCGACCGACAGCGACAAACGCGTCGACGAACGCGCTCACGCTGAGTACTGGACCGCGTTCGCTGACCCCATCGTAATTCTCCCGGAACAGGTGCGTAGAAACTGCGTCCACAGCCAGGCTTCGCGTCAAGTTGAGCACGTTGACAGGCCGCTTTGTCATGGCTTCGTCCCTCAATCGCTCCACCATGCGATCGACGCATCCCCAAATCGCTCTCTCATTTTCCCTCAATGCCTTTGTTGAGAACAGCGGGACCACAGCTTTCGCTCTTGGGCTCCTGTAGTCCGTATCGATAGTCGAGAAAATAGTCTTGTGGCCATCAATGTCGAAATTTGCGTAGCACGCCGCTTTCGGAAAGCCTCCTTTCGATACGTAGATTGCGGGTATAGCATCTGCGTCGCTTATATCGACTTCATTCGGTGAGACTCGGACATACGGGCCGTATTGTTCGTGGAGTTTGTGGATAGTGCTTGCTTCGTCTCCGATGTAGGCGTGGTAGTGAAGAAAGATGCTGGTCAACTTAGGTAAGATGGGTCCAGGGATGTGGGATAGAGGATGGAAGTAGATGCGATATACTGATCGGATCAATACAAGCAGGAAAGGCGTGAAGAACAAGGTTGTTATGGGATGAGCTGCTATCGCGCCAACAACAAGGCTTTGGAGTGCCATCGGAATAAAGTACAGCTGAACAGGCTACATTGGCGCTCTTGCAGATGTCGTGTGTTTTATATGAGTCGTGGTTGGTTGAGTCACCATAGCGTTAGTGGGGTGCTATCAACGGCGATCATGGAGATAAGCGTCATCCACTCCCACTTTGAACTCTCTTTGACATTGCAGAAACTGGGACGCATTATACATTGTTGCTCTACATAAATATATGTAGTCTAAACTTCCCTCATTATTACTCATTTTCGTTCCCTTTGATGCTGCCGGCATTGTCAACCCGCGAAACCCGCTAACGGCAAGCACATCAAGCAATGTCCCCTCTTCTTCTAACTAGCCATCTAACTCAAATCACTGGCCCTACCATCCTTGGTTGAAGGCGTCAACTCCACGTCCGCAGTATAATCAGCCCTCGCACCCTTCTTCGACCTCCTCCACTGATGCACAGCAATGCAACTCAGCAGAGCCATTCCCGCATGTAGAAGGCCTAATACCCCTTGTAATCCCACCTCAGCATACCCAAGGCTATCCCAATACGACTTGTTGTAGGTGTTGCTCTCATCGTTGTAAATGATGAGCGTGTGTAGAAAGCAGATGGCCCCATAAAGACACACCATGACTAAGGATGCAGTGAGGGAAAGGATAGGATGGAATAAATTTGGTGCGGAGGCTGAAGAGGGTATAGCCACGAGGCTGAAGAGAGTGTAAATGGTATCGGGGATCATTGCGAATCCTGTGCGGAAGAACCAATCATTGCTATATACACAGTTAGTATGCGCTTTATTCGACCGGTCTTACTTTTGGAATCTGGGAAGACTACGTGCTGCGACTTACGCATAGCTTTGCCAACGGGGGTCGTTGTCGCGATCGTTAAATCCGTACTTAAAAGAAGCATTGTGGGAAATGATGATGATGATAAAGACAAAAAGAATAAATGCCTTTACGAGAAAGACATGGTGATGGAAGCGTGGAGGTCCTTGCCAAAGTGGACTTTTAGGACGAGTGAAAGATGCTAGGATGCCCATGTTTGGAGGTACTTTAGTAACGCGTAGATGAAGCTGTGGAAGAATCTCGGGAGTGCAATATATCTATACTAATAAAATGAGATGCGAGATTGAGTGGATGTGTTCTCACTATAAGTACCTCTACTTAGCAAGGCGCAAAAGAGAAAGTTGATCAACACACAGGTCGCCTTATCGTGGCGCGTACCTTCAACGCAGGTCCCGTATCTGTGCACTTGACGTCTCAGCCTGATGATCACCCCGCAATTCCTCGACTATTTCGAAGATCGACCCAAGGGCAAAATAGCTGGCTTTTGTTGGTTGGTGTCAAACACAGCCTACCATGCCAAGTTCGGGCTGTGTTGCCGGTCAAGCATAGGTACCGTAAGCGAGGCGCGCCACTAGAGGAAGATGTGTAAAACTAGCTCGTGTACGCAGTACAAAAGAATGACATAATCATCGAAACTACTTTCGCAAGGTGAAACTGAAACGGGGGATTATTCGTGATATTGAATGCTCGACTAGAGCAACAGCCTACGAGCCGATATGCGGCATTTCATGCAACATCTTGGCCTGGAAACCCCCATAGACGCCCACTCCAACACCACGGCATGGTGGTGACCGATCCAGTGATGATATGCAACGCTGACGGCATCCAGCTTGCCTCAAAGATGAGAAGTCTAGTTCTCAAGATGAACACCTAAACATGCGTTAGCTCGGAGATCAAACTCGCGATTGCACAAATGCTTACTATCAACATTGTTGTTGTAGATCATGTTGGTGTTGTTGTTCTTGAGGTAGCAGTTCTGGTCAAACCAAGTAACGGCAACACATCCTGTTGTAACAGAACACACGTCCACACACTTGGTCATGGACTCGGTTGACTTGTAGGCAATGTCGCCACCATAGTAGTCCCAGTTGCACTGTGCAATGAACGGCTTCTGGTTCGCAGTGGTGTACCTGCACTTGTCATCGGTAGGGCAGTCGATGACGTCGGTGCATGTCGAGGAGCCAGGCGCGGGCTCTGCGATGGTCGGGCCCTTGAGCTGATTGCCGGTGGACACGTTGGTTCTGCAGGATGAGTTAGAAAGTTGTTGGCAATAGATGGACGTGTTAGAGACAAACTTACGCTGGCCGGGCAGTACCCTTGGGGTTGCCCAGAAGGTAGCAGAAGCTTCCCTTCATGTTGAATGCGACGCAATCCTTGTGTCGAGAGCAAGCATCTGCGCAGTCGACGAATACATCGGCCTTTAAAGGTGTGAATAGTATTCTAGTCTTCCTCGGGATTGCAACGTACCTGGGCAGAGTCGATGATGGGGCCGTTGTAGTCAGTCGCACAGGTGAGCTGGAATACAGCACCGTTGGTGGAGGTAGATACGCAACCGTTCCAGCGAGGGCATGTAGGTATAGCGGGGCAGTTTCGCATCTGGCGCGGAACCAGTGCAGAAAGTGCAGCCGTCGAAGCGATGAGTGTATAGTGCTGTGGCATGGTCAGTATACCTCATGAAATCGCGCATATAGCCCCGAAATGGCTGCTTGGATACAGATCTTGCATCGCAGCTTGTCCAGGAGTTTTGAAACTCTGATTTGAACGGAAAATATGCGGCATGGCTGCAGAACTGAACAATTGTGACTTACCATCTTGAGTGGTGGTGGTGAGGGTTGGAAGGAACGGATGAGTGAGTATGAGCCGGAAGAGAAAAGGGTTGGATGAAGAGATATGGGCTACGGAGAAGCCTCAGACCGTATCTGTCTTGTGGTTGAAGCTAATAGTGATGCGGGCTTCGTGACGAAGACTGTGGGGTATTTGGAACTGATACCATGGTCCGGTGTCGCCTACAGCAAATGACAGGTCTTCGGATGTGGGCGATAACAACGACCAGACCCTGACATGTTCTTGTGATCGTAAAAGCTCATATTCTCCAATCAACGAACCTCGTGGACCTCCACCACATCTCAGGCACATGAGCCTAGACCTGAGGTATCCTTATAATTGCAACCGTGCAGCCAGCTGCATTCATACCTTCTCCACCGGCTCTCCAGGAATCCACGTGCCGTTGCCAGATAATGTACCTGGCCTGGTATAATCCAAAGTTCTCCCACCTCTTACATAAGCCCACCGGAAGTACTCGTTGATTCCACTATCAAGTGGCCTGCGCCACTCAAAAGAAGCTCCACCTAGCCCATCATCGTAGAACGCGCGGTCGCGCTCAACATCATTTACTAAGACACTTATGCCTTCAATTCCGACCGGGTGTGCTTCGTACCGAAATGTCGCGACCAGCGCCTCGGTACCAAAATTGACGGTGGCGTCCGCTATCTTGGGAACCACGGAGTTAAACTTCGCATCAGCGCGAAGTGCAGCAGAAGTCTGCAAGACGGAGTCAAAGTCCCAGCGCGCTATTCCATTGACGAAAAGACCCAACAGAATGCCTTGGTACAGTAAAGACGGTCGTGTTTGCAAACTCGTGCCCGGCAGCAACAATATCGCGAGGATGTAATGGTGGATCCTTAGATTTACGCCTGGGATAGTCAAGCAGACAATGATTCCAAGAATGAAAAGTCCATACAAGCCGAGGTAGCGGAGCAGGCGGCCTTCGAGCCAGAAGAAATATACTTGCCCTACAATGATGACCACCAGCACCAGAACGATGATTGCCAAGGCTAGCTTTGCCCCGGGTTGTTGTTCCAGATCGTGCGAGGTAAGTCGAGATATCGGTATCCAATCAAAAGTATAATTTGAAAGTGCTCCAATCCAGGCGCCACCTTGCCAAAAGAGTGCTTTCTCAAAATGAGCAGTCATGCCAAGTAATGACCTCTTCACGGTAGTGGAGTATATGACAACGGCCACAAACATTGCCGGTAAAAGTCGCTTCGCGAACATGGACAGATGATCCGGAAGAACAGTAGTGTTTCGGGAGGACGCCGACGGTGGGTCGGAAACAAAGCTCACGTGGGCAAAAACAAGGCTGAAGATCGCAAAGAAGATCTTGGGTGACGTGGTGAAGATAGCAAGCGCAGCAGTGACGAGGAGCGAAACAGGAAGCAAGGCTGACCGAGGGTCGGAAGCGGAGTGGAAGCTATCGTCATAGCCTACGGAAAAGGCAAGCGGGAAGTACGAATCGAAAGGCAAGGATTCGATGCCGTGTCGCTTAGTACTGGCGAAACTGTCATGCTCACCAACGAGAGTAATCCGACCAGAGCCTACGAGGATGAAGATAACATGTCAGTATATGTCTTACACACAGTTCGTACGGGCAGTTCCTTACCACCTTTCCGGCCATCCACAATGCCAGCATGGATCGCGGATCCGCAGATGAAACTGTCTCCACGGTAAAATCCCGTACCGATGACAAGCGGTCGGTAGTTTACTTCGAGAGGTCCAACAATGTGCGGATTCAAGATCTGCACGTCGCCGCACTTCGCTGGACACCGGAAGGCGAATGAATGGTTGCTGAAAGGGCGGCAATCGATCCCATCGATTCCGCATTCGTTCTTTCGTTTCCAGAGCGTGTCTACGCAATCGAGGTTGATCACGCTATTGCCATCCCCATCGCGGAGCGGTAGTTGTTCAGTGAGAAACCACACAAATATAACAAGCCATAGCAGTAGCACAGCAAAGAGCCAGATGGGTTTATTGAACCCGTGTGCTTCCGTCCATTGGGCCGGATACGCTTGGATGGCTGGGAAGACTGGCTGAATGGACTGGATGCGAGGTGGCTCTGGACCGCGCAAGAAGCGAAGGAAAGTACGTCGGCCACTACGCGCAGGCAACGCGTTGTCTTCGAAGTCCATCTCTTCTCTTGTCAACAGATGGGCTTCTTCGTCCCTGTCAGCGGCTCCAGTAAGAGGGTGGCTCGCGTCATCTTCAACGTCATTGTCGTTCGGACCGCTTTGTAACGAGATGCGCATGGTCAGCTGCAGCAAGTTGAACATGCATGAGAAATGTAGTCATTGACAATAGACATTGTGGTCTGAGATGAAACATGTTGAATGATCAACAGCGCCATTTTCTCAAGGTGCCTTATCGATAACATATCTCACTCAGTGCCATCTGGTGTCGGGCACCCTTGTCTTTTGGAGAGAAAGTTGAATGACTTTGCAGTGTATGGTCTTATCTCGCGTCGTTACTGCTTCTGGTGACCTCGTTGTATTCAGCTACTGTCACACAGCTGACCTAACATGGGAGGCACGTCGTACACCTTTGGTTAGCCTCTTAGGAACAACCACCTCATCATCACGTCTACGATCATCGCCCTTGCACCAAAAATGTCAGTTACAATCAGACGCTAAAGGTATAAGCTGCGTTTCCTGTTATGCTGTTGTAATAGGTCTATACCATGGGCAGAGGTATGATTCCAGGCATACCTCCGCGACGAGCACAGGCCAAGACCCTTAGATGCCGCTGGTTCTACAGAAGGCCGAACATTTGCCAAATACAACACTCGACGTGCGCACGCGTCGACGACTCTACTCACTGACCAAGCAACCAATTGCTCGCCATTATGGATGCGCTACAATCCTATCTCCCTCAAGCGGAAGGGCTACTGCCCAAATGGCTTCTCTTTGTATGTCCTGTTCTCCGGGCTTGCGACTGTCATTTCCATGCAGTCTGTCATCGTAGCATAAACTCATAATTCCCGCAGGTCGCCATAGTCTCCGTCGGCAACAGCCTCCAATGCTACGCCACGCTCTCCTTCACTTCGCGCGTCTACAACCCTACAGCAATTGATCCGCCCCCTACCACGCCGAAACACGTAACCGCTCTCTCGTCGCGCACATTCGGAACATGGACTTTCTTGACGGGCATGGTTCGACTTTACGCTGCATACAACATCAACAATCCGAGCTTCTATCAATTGGCTTTGTGGACTTATGCTATAGCCTGGGGACACTTCATGAGTGAATGGTTTGTGTATGGAACTACAAGATGGGGCAAACCATTGGCTGGACCGGTGATAGTCGCAACTTCAAGTTTGATCTGGATGTGGATGCAGTGGGATTTCTACGTCAAGGCCTAGCGTGGGGGGCTGGGGAGTATTGGGTATCGAAATGGAGATAGTGATGTAATGTTAATGTGTACAAAGACGCGTTCATTCGGTGTCTCTTCTCACAACTTGAACCAGGGACATGTCATAGTACAGGAAGACGTGATGTTATGCAGACACTAATCGCCAGGGCTCCCAATGCAAACACATGTACCAAGATCCATCACGCTGCAGCATGAACAGCAATGGACTTTTGACCCGCCTCGGGGCTTGTTTGACCACTCGAGGACTTTCATTGATCGTAGCTGAAGAAACATACATGGCCCATGGGACTCCGATACCTCAATCCTTGATGCCGAATTTTGACGACTATATCGAAAGCCGTCACACTCCGCCTCAACCAAGTTTCTTTCCGTTGCTGATCATGAACCGTTACACCATCCCTTTTCTATGCACTTAGAACTTGTTGAACTGCTTAGCAGCCTTTCCCTTTCGGGGGAGGACACGGAGGACGTTGAAGCGGACGGTCTTGGAGAGGGGCCTGCACTGGCCAACGACGACCTGGTCACCGGGCTCGACACGGAAAGCGGGGGAGACGTGTGCGGCGAGGTTCTTGTGGCGCTTCTCGTAACGGGAGTACTTGGGGATGAAGTGAAGGTATTCACGGCGGATGATCAAGGTGCCTGTAATTCGTTAGTTCTTGCTGCCCATTTCTTTCTGATATTCCTGTTGCGGCCTGGTGTACGCGCTCCGAGAATTGGGCTAACACGTACGGTGCATCTTGGTGGACATGACAGTTCCGGTAAGGATACGGCCACGGATGGAGACCATGCCGGTGAATGGGCACTTCTTGTCGATGTAGGTACCCTCAATGGCGGTCTTGGGCGTACGGAAGCCCAGACCAACGTCCTTGTACCATCTCCTGGCGCGGGTGTTCTTGCGGGGTCCGCCGACCTTGTGGTTGAGGAAGATGTGAGGCTATCGCATCGCATTAGTATCGGACGTGCTGGGGGCTCGCGAAATGGGCGTGTAGTACCTGCTTCTGGAAAGCGCGCTCCGACTGGACACTATTTCGCAATCAGTATTTGTCGAGAGTATTCGCAGTATCGCACAACGTACGTGAGTTCGGTCGCCATGGTTGCGGGTCGGGTGGTATTGTCGAGCTTTCGGTGTTGCTCTAGGATCGCAATATTCGATCGCTTGTGTGGAGAAAGGTTCCTCCGGTGCCGAGGGCTAGCGCGAGCCTAGTGGCCAGCCTCGGCAGGGCCCAGAGCGAAGCCGCGAGATTGTCGCGAGGGCTAACGGAGCATGCGAACTTCAATGCTGCATCCGCTTGCAACTGCTCCTTAGCTTTATCAACCCAATTTCTGGCCGCTCCCATATTTGCTCTCCATGGCAGGCATCCTCGAGCCGTTTGGTGTTCACATCGACGCAAGCAACTCGTTCGTGCAGGCTGCTGTCTATGGCCTCCTGCTCGTAGGCGTTGCATCTTTCGCAGCACCTGTCATTAGCACCATTCGAGTTCTTCTCAGCTTGTTTGTGCTGCCAGGTAAATCTGTATGCCCCTCCAAACATTCCTGACCCTCTCGGATGTTTCTAACCCCCACCAGCTCAGCACATTCGGACCCCGCGGCACCTGGGCCCTCATAACTGGTGCCTCTGACGGCATTGGCAAAGAGTTCGCCCTCTCCCTCGCAGCCAAGGGTTACAACCTCATCCTCGTTTCGCGTACGCAATCGAAGCTCGACTCCCTCTCCGCCGACATCACGTCCAAGTATGGCCCTAAGATCGCCGTCAAGACGCTGGCTATGGACTTCGCGCAGAACAAAGATGCCGACTACAACAATATGAAGAAGCTCATTGACGGTCTCGACATCAGCATACTAGTCAACAATGTTGGCTTGAGCCACAGCATCCCAGTACCATTCATCGAGACACCCAAGCAGGAGATGAACGACATCATCATGATCAACTGCATGGCTACTCTTCGTGTCACACAGCTCGTCACCCCCGGCATGGTGTCTCGCAAGCGTGGACTCGTCCTCACCATGGCTTCCTTTGGCGGCTTCTTCCCTACACCCCTTCTCGCGACCTACTCCGGCAGCAAGGCTTTCCTACAACAATGGTCCACCGCGCTGGCTTCCGAACTCGAGCCCCACGGCGTATACGTCCAATGTGTTCAGTCTCACCTCGTCACCACGGCCATGTCCAAGATCCGCAAGACGTCTGCACTCGTTCCGAACCCCAAGCAATTCGTAAACGCTACACTAAGCAAGATTGGAAGGAGTGGAGGTGCACAAGGCGTAGCTTTCACGAGCACACCGTACTGGAGCCACGGACTCATGCACTGGTTCCTTTCGCGCTTCTTGGGTGAGCGCTCGGATACTGTTGTCAAGGTGAACAGGGGCATGCACGAGAGCATCCGGAAGCGTGCCCTGCGAAAGGCTGAGAGGGACGCTAAGAAGCAGTAAGCTATCCGCTTGGTGGACCTGTCTTCTCAACCACACAACAAGTCAACTCGGATCTCAACCACGTGAGACGCTGCGGAGCAGCATGGGAGTGGGTGCTTTCGTCGAGCTTCACTGCACATCGATGTAATGTCCAAATGCGCAAGGGAATACCTTTTTCGCGATCTATCAATATGTATAGAGACAAATTTCTGGGATCAAGATTCACACAGAATAAGCATTTAACTAAGACCCCTGCGCCGTGCTATAGCAACAAGGATATAACTACATCGCCTTCTCCACACTAAGGAAGAGGATATTCCGCCAACTCAATTCATATAGTCATAGGAAAATTGCAACGAGGCCAAGCATGTTGTTCAAAGATCACGCTAAGTGTCCTTCGACTTTTTGCTTCTGACAACACGTCTCTAAGACGACTTGCCATAGGCCTGGTCAACTTCCTTCTGGTACTGCTTCAAGATACCCTTGCGGTTGAGCTTCTGTGCGGCAGTGGTGAGGCCCTGTTATAATGTCAGCATTCTGTAGACTTTCTTCCATGTTACAGAGGTACTTACGTTCTGTGGTGTCCACTCCTCGTCTGCTAGCACAACACCCTCAATCATCTCGAATCCAGCCAGACCACCCTTTTGGCCAGCCTGCTGCAATTGCTTGAGCACGGCAGAATTGATCTTCTTGTCGTGAACAAGTTCCTCGAGGTGATCTCCCTGGACACCCTCTGCGGCGGCAATCTTCTTCAGTTGTGGTTCGGTGGGCACGATGATCGCGACAGGCTTCTGGCGATCTTCTGCAGCGTAGACGCAGATGTTTGCGACAATGGGTGCGGAGCGGTAGACAGACTCGAGCTTCTCGAGAGCAATGTACTCTCCAGCAAGTGTCTTGACCAAGTTCTTCTTGCGGTCAATGATGCGGACTTCACCGTTGGCGTTGAACTCTCCAACGTCACCAGTCTTGAACCATCCGTCGTCGGTGAAGGCCTCCTTGGTCTCCTCAGGCATGTCCAGGTAACCGTCTACGACACCACCGCCACGGATCCAGATTTCTCCCTGAGGCGGGTTGTTGGTGGAGAAGTAGCCGGCATCCGCGAAGTCGACGAGCTTCATCTCGACTGAAGCAGGCATCTCACCGAGGGCGTGCTCGTTCCAGGCCAAGGGGTCCATAAGCGCACCCATGGCGCAGGTTTCGGTCAGACCGTATCCGCTGATCATGGGTGTAATGGCAATGGAGATGAAGCGCTGCGTCTCCTTTGAGATGGGTCCACCACCGTTCAAGCAGATTCGAAGTCTACCTCCGGTGGCTTCCTTGACCTTGTTGAAGACAATGGCATCGAGAATACCACTACCTGGCAGTCCAGAACCAAGGAGGAAGCCCTTGGCGGCGAACGCTCCCCAGAACATGTTGCTCTTGACAGCGCCTCCCGCCTCAACCTTGTTGACGATGCCCTTCTTGATGGTCTCCCACACCTGCGGTACACCGACCATGACCGTTGGCTTCAGCTCACGGATATCACCAGCGCAGTTGCGCACGGACTGGTCCGAGAGCGTCCTGATGGTTCCGTAGCCCATGGTACCACCCCAGTAGAGCACGGCGTTCTCGAATACGAACTCGAGGATATGCGCGGCGGGGAGGTAGGTGATGAGAACGTCGCCCGGTCCGAGGTACTTGCCTACAATAACATCGACACCAGCAACTGAAAGAGGTCAGTACTTTGTTTACATGCTCGCAGCAGGAGACTTACTAGCAGCGATGACGTTGCGGTGCTTGATCATGACTCCCTTGGGGGTGCCTGTAGATCCAGACGTGTACATGATGCAGGCCAGATCGTCTGCCTTGGGCGGGATAGGCTCCGCAGGGCTCTCCTCGCCCAACTTGACCAGCTCGTCGAAGCTCATAACCTTCAGGTGCGGGTGCGCCTGGGTAAGTGTATCAATGTCCTTCTGCTTGGGGTCGTTCTTGGTGCAGTATACGACGACCTGGACGTCCTTGGCCTCCTTCATTGGGTTGACGAGCTTGGGTAGCAGCTCAGGGTCGGTGAACATGACCTTTGCGTTGGTCTGAAGCATAGAATGCCTGAGACCCTCTTCTCCGAGCGTGTCGTATGCGGTAACAATGGCCATAGACTGGGAGATGGCACCTGCAAGCATGATGAGTTAATGGTTCTTGTACGTGTACACGCGACTGCTTACCGTGTGCGGACGCCAGCCATTGCATGCTCGTGGCGGCGAACAGGTGGAGCCTGTCTTGCGGGTTAAAGCCCAGCGACTTCAGGCCCGAGCCTACTGCGAGCGCCATCTTCTCAAACTCGACGAAGCTCTTGTACTTGTACGGGCTGAGCTCGAAGTACTGCCACTTCTTGTCGACTTCCTGCTCCTTGCCATCGACCATCTTCTTGACCTTCTTGGTCTCCTCATGTATGTTGACGATGCGACGCGCACCGACTGCCTTTGCATTGCCGTACTTGGCGGCAGCGTGTCGCAGTACGTCGTACAATGTCTCTACGTTGTCGTGGGGCTTCAGTACCAGACCGTCTTTCGCGGCCAGGTTGCGACGCGGCAGCGTCTCGCCCTCGATCTTCTCTGCATTCGCAGCTTCGCACGTGTAGGGCCCCGCCCGATGGTTCTTGGCCTGGGGCATCAGCTTCTTGAGGTCTTGCGGCATCTTGGCGGCTCTGGGGTGGGCGCTGTCCAGAGTGACGACCGTGTGTGATGGGGATGGGTATGTGTAGGGGTATAGGGCAAAGGGTATCACAAAAAGTGCAAAAAGCAGCGAGAGGGTATATGGAGAGTGTGTCGTCGCCAGCGGGGAACGGCGGATGTGATGAGGTTGGTGTGTTGGGAGCTTATGCGCTTGTTATGCTTTCCCGGTCGCTAAATCGACGACCTGGCTGGGGTGGCCGAGCTTCTTGATGACCTCACTCAGCCACCGCAAGCTCTGGGCACCTGGGGCCAGCCGCTGCTCCACTTCTTTTCTGTCGAACGAGATGCGACTGAAGATCGACAGCGCAGCACACATCGCAAGGTCTGCCAGGTCGTCTCAGCCTCCCGCCGTCGTGTCCTGTCGACGTATTCTTCGCGTTGGAAACCTGCTCGACCTCACGCCGTCGTGAGACGCAGTTGAGTCGGCCTGCAGTTGGCCAAGGAATCCGGAGACTCTTCCAAGACGCGCAGCTGTCTCCTTTTGACGCTTTCGCTCCGTTGCCAACCTTAACGCAGGTGCAAGGATCGAGCGGATAATCGCAGGCCGCTGTCGCCTGAGCGTTGCCAAGATGCGGAGTCTCACGGAGATTCTGGCAACGGGGCCCATCCTGGACCCTGAAGAAGGTGTGTAAAACGCCCTGGAGTACACGAATGTACTCATCGAATCACATCCTTATGCTGGTCCTCGGCTCAACATATTGCTGTGTCGTTGCGATTCGCTCTCACGTACGCCCAATGTGGAACATGTCGCAAGACTGCAAACAAGTCATCATCGATAGGTTACTCATCAAATCACGCAGAAGCCTTCGTTGTCTTTTCGCAAGATATTCCTTCTCAGTCTCTTGGTTTCATCGATGAGCCGGCGGCAACTCTAGATCTCAGCGTGGCGGGCCATGATCTGGTCATTCACCACTCAAGAGGTCTGCTGACTTCCAGTCGTAAAGAAGGGACGACCGGTGCCGGTAAGTAGTTCTGTGTTTGCCATAATTTTCTCCGGGGTCGCGCGTTGCCCCCTACGTTCCCCATTTCAGTTGAATTTGACCTCTCATGCGGGCTCCTACAATAGCATCTCAGCTATAGTGGCCTGGGTTGGCCATACAGGACTAGTAGATAGCCGACCAAATTCATTGCAATGAGAACTATCACGCTCTACATGCCATACTCCGCTCCGCTCCCGCCAACTAACGCCTAAATAGTAGTGTGGAAAGTCACCCCGTTGTTCGCAACATGGATCGCCTCCCCCACAAATTTCCTCTTCACATCCTCCCTTCTCACACCCAGCTCCAGCATCCTCGAGCTCGGCGCAGGCGTATCCGGTATCGTCGCACTCTGCTTAGGTCCCCTAGTCGCAAGCTACACAGCCACTGACCAGGACTATGTGCTCAAGATACTACGGCAGAATATCGCCGAGAACCTTGACACCGTCATACCGACAAAAAGAAAGAATGGGAAGGGAATTAAGAAACAGCAAGGTCAGCTGAAGGGAGAAGGAGGAAATAGTGGCGATCGCATCACAACACTGCAATTAGATTGGGAGACAGATGCAACTTCTCGTCTCAACCCCGTGGACATGATCGTATCGTGCGATTGCGTCTACAACGAAGCTTTGATTGAGCCGCTCAACACGACGTGTGCTGCGATATGTAGGTTGAAGGATGACAAGGACGAGCCAACGCTTTGTCTTATTGCGCAGCAGCTGCGCAGTCCCGAGGTCTTTGAGACTTGGTTGAAAAGTTTTCATCGGTATTTTCACGTCTGGCAGGTGCCTGATAAGATGCTGGGTGAGGGCTTGAAAGAGGGCAGTGGTTTTGTGGTGCATATCGGTGTCGTAAGATGACTATTCTCATCTTGGGCTACAGCACGAGGGTGGCATTTGGTGAGTAAAGGAAGTCACTTCTTTGTAATGAAACTATAAGAAGACTACAACGCCGAGATGTCCACCCAGTATGAGAAATCGCTTTTCGTAAAAGTCAAAACCATGCATCACAGCGCTCACGCGGCCTTGCTAGGCTCAATATCCGAACTTGGTCGTCCCTCAACATCAGTGGCTCCCTTCTTGACCCTTGCCCACTCTTCCTTATCCGCTGGCTCGTCGACTTCATTCGCAGTCAACTCCGGTGTCTCCTCGTCCTCAATCTCCTCTGGTAGGACAAGGTTAAGTACAACGTTGATGAAAGCAACAACAGCGAAACCTGTCTCGAGGATCAAGATGATAGCGTTGTAGAAGCCCTGAAGTGCGTGGTTCGGTCCATCGTAAGTGAAGACGTGATCAAACCAGTCTGGGACCATGGTAGCGCCGAAGCCCAGGGTAAATCCTGCAGTGAGGATAAAACGGTTGCGGCGAGTGAAGGACATCGTGCTGATGATCCTAATACCACTAACAGCGACGGCACTGAAGAGGAAGGTTGTCATTCCGCCGAGAACTGCTGAAGGAATGGCAACAAGGGCCGCCGCAAACTTGGCGAAGATGCCCATGACAATGAGCCAGAAGCAGCAAGCATAGCCGGCCTTTCGGTTCGCACAGCGCGTCAGAGCAATGACACCTAAAGAGGGGCGTACGAAGTCAGTGTTTGTCTCACATGCAGTTCGTACATCGGGCACTAACCGTTATTCTGAGCGAAGGTGGACATGGGAGTGATGGTGCACAGAGCTGCAATCATGCCGTTCAGACCATCTGCGAGGACACCACCTTGAATTCGGGAATCGAACATCTCGCCGTCGACTTCAAGGCGCGAAACATCGCAGGTAGCGGTGATATCACCAATGGCCTCCATAGCGACAACCATGTAGACTGCTAGCAGAGGGAGCACTATTGGTCCGTATACAGAGAGCTTGAATGTGTGGACCCAGATAAAGGATACAGCCGGTGCGGCATCGATGGTGGACTTGTCAAAGTAGCCTGTTGCGCCTGCGATGATGCATCCGACCAGGAGTCCAACAACGACAGCGGTAGACTTCATGATAGGCGCACCAAAACGCTCGCAGATGATGATGGTGATGAAGACACTGAAACCGAGACCGATGAACTCAGCGCTACCCCATGGAAGAGGGCGCGGTGCATTGATGTTGGGGCACAGCTGAAAGAGTCCAGTTTCGGGACGAGATTGGCAATCACCCGAGCCACCAGCCCAGTTTTGAAGTCCAGTCTCGATGAGATGAACGCCAATGAGCAGTACAGTTGGACCGGTAACCAGGGGCGGGAAGACCTTCTTAAGGATACGCGGACTGGTGAAGGACATGCCGATTTCGAGCAAAGCGCATACAGCGCACGTACCGAGAATAGCTCCGTAGCCGTCTGGGCAAGGGAGTCTTGTGCCATCCGCAGCAGTCGGGCAAAATCCGGTCGCGTACATCTGGCTGAGGGCACCGGTCGCCACGGGAATAGTCGCAAAAGAAGTTCCGACGACGGAAATCAGGCCGGTTCCGATATAGTAGGGGGTCTTCCAGATATGGAAGCGCGTGATCTGAATCGAGGACAGGATTCCGCAAACTACGAGCGAAGTGGAGACGAGGTAGCGTTGCTCTTCCGAACTTAGATGTGCGGCGTTTGCGAGGATAATGGGTGGTGTTATGACACCTGCTAACATGGCGAGTGCGTGTTGAAATCCGAGGAGAAGAGCTAGTAGCACTGGCATACGGTCATGGAGACCGAAGAAGGGTGCAGCTCTTCGCTCCTTCTTCATGAATGGCAGGTTTGGACGGAACAGAAAGGCGTAGTCATAAGTACCAACCAGACCATCTCTGTTGACTATGTTAGATAAGATTTTGATTGTGACAAAAGATCGTACTTGGTTGTAAAGGCCTTGATGGCGCGTCTTGCTTGCTCTCCAAAGCTTCGCTTTGGCGTATGGTCGGGACCGATCATGTCTGCCATGGCTGCTCAGAGACTGCAATCCGGATGCGCGTGTCCGAACAGAAGCAGAGATGTCGAGATTGAGCCGGATCTTTGTATTCTGCGGTTCAACCTCCGATAAGGAAGATCTTGATAAGATTGGCGAGGTGGCTGAAGATACCCAGTTGTACGGCCAGTCGCAGGATCAGACGTGCCTCTTGGTCGACTAAGGGCTGTCGCGTGCAGTGTAACGCGCTACCGATGACAGGCTCTTGAAATGCTCGGATGGTGGTCTTGAAGTTCGATATGCGGGGAAGTGACGTGAAGATGGCGGATCTTAGTTCGAGTGGGAACGTTAGTCGCTGTGCAGTAGAGTGACGGCGTGAACCCAACGAGCTACTTCCTCATCTATATAGAACATGTGGAGAAAGAGTATTATCTCCTGCAACAACCTTCACGATACACAATTGTTCATCCACAACGTCTTAGCCCCGAATCCAAGGCCACTCACGGACCGCCAAAGATTGGAGCTGGCCGAAGATAGTCGTGAGCCGCCGCGAATAATTACTCTTCTCCACGGCAGATTCGTCGCTACGGCGCGCATTTCGCAGTGGCAGAGGGGCGACACCCGCGTATGTGCTAAAACGATCGCCTGTACTGATAGGTAGGAAAACGGCGATTGGCTGTTGGGCGAATGTGTCCACTTGGCGGGCGGACCACTCCGACGATAGAGGATGGGAGATATTGCAGGAGAGGCCTCCCACACTGTACTGGAGGAATGTGCATCTAGATCTGAGTCCGATTGCTGTCATAAGATCCTGTTCGCCGGTTACCGATGCAGCGGTGCTGAGCGCGTCCATGCTGGGCGACTTGGTGTTCTGGTTGGCAGCAGCCGGTGATCGGAGCCTCGCTGAGACCAAGAGAGACTGCGCAGAACTACCTTGATTCCCTCACAGCCTTCCCACATCTCCAGCAACTATGTACAATGTCGCGTGTAGGTCTATGTACCTACCTGTGCAGAACAGGTGAGTACGTTCTAGGTAGAATTTCTGGTTCTTGTAAATCTCAAGAGTTCGTCTCTGGCTGATCGTGTTTCGGTTGCAGATGACAGAACATGAAAGCACTGCTAG